GCTCAAGTGGTAGAGCGCTCGCCTTGAGCTGAAGAGCTGAGGGACAGCGCCCAGGCCCAGAGTTCAAGCCCCATGACTGACCAAAAAAAAAAAAGAATTCAAACAGGTCAGGCACCAGTGGCTCGTGCCTATAATCCTGCCATCTCAGGCAGCTGAGATCCGAGGATGATGATTAAAAGCCAGCCCAGGTAAGAAAGTCTATGAGACTTTTTATCTTCATTTAACCAGTAAAAAGCTGGAAGTTAAGTTGTGGTCCAAGTGGTAGAGCACTAGCCTTGAGCAAAAATGCTATAGGACAAGCCCAGGCCCTGAATTCAAGCTGCACACACGTGCGGCACACACACACACACACAATTTAAACAGCTGTCACTATAAAAGACAAGATGCTCTTGGAAACAAGAGTATGCAAACAACTCCCATGTTTTCACCTTTCAATTGGCGCTCATGGTATTCTGACAAGAACTGTCTAATGCGATCTGAGGGAATCGCAAAGGAGATTCCTGCAGTCACCTTCAGTGTGTTTATGCCAATCACATCTCCATCCTGGCAAGAAAGGAGCCATCATTGGGTCATGAAGCTTTGAAAAATCAGAACAAACAAAGGAAAGGAGGGAAACTAGTCACCTGCGGTCAGAAAACCAGGGTAGGAGGAAATTTGCACTTCCTCACCAGATGGTAAACTCTAATCAGTGGCATGCCCTCACTGTAGACTAGATGCTTTAGCAACAGATGTTAGATTGCAAGGAGCTAGTATGACAAGACAGAGACATGAGGGAGCTTTATGGGGTACACTTCACTTGGGGCTAAAGGGTCAAGGCTGCTGAGGATTTTCTTTTTAATCTCCAGATCATTTTTCCTTTATTAAGTTACATTGGTTTTCTTAATGAGTGATACTTTATTATATTTTGATACAAATAAGAGGACAAAGAATAGTTGCCTTTTTAGTACTTACGTGAAACTAAAACATTGAAGATAAGAAAGCTTTTGGATATTCAGTATTGCTGAATATTAAACTATTCAGAAGAACTAGAAAAACTGACATTTGGAAGCAAAGGTAGTTGGACTAAACTTATGAGGTAGGGAAGACTTTTCTTCTTCATACCCTTCACTGTTTTTCAGATTTTGCCAGGTAATGGGAAGGCTAGAAAAGGAATTGCTGATTATATTAAAATACAGACTATAATGCAGTAGATCTGGAATGTGATCAAAATTCTGTATTTCACTTCTACTCTAGTGAATTCATTGTCTAATAAGGAAGGCAGGCATAAGTAATTGTATGGAATATTGCAAATAAGAAGCAGTCAATAAGCTGGAATCACAGCTCATCTGTAGAATACTTGCCTAGCACATGCAAGGGCTTAAGTTCCAGTCTAGCACTGCCCTTCTTCCAAAAAAAGCAAATATAATATTTAAAGAGGAAACAAAAGCAGTCTCCTTCAAGAATTTCCAAGAGACTACAGTCTCTTACATATATATATATATATATATATATATAGTATACATATGTATGTGTATATGTACATATATATGTAGTGTATATATAAATATGTGTGTGTTTATATATTAAAATAATATACATGTCATATTATATATATACTTGAAATATTGGCTTTTCAAAAGTGTTGCATAAAATTTAAGAGTACAATACAGCCAGACAGTGGTGGCTCACACTCCTAATCTCAGGAAGCTGAGATCTAAGGACTGAGGCTCTAAATTAGCCCAGGAAGAAAAGTCCATAGACTCTTTTTTTTTTTTTTTTTTGGTGGTGGTGAGGCTTAAACTCTGCGCTTGGCTTGGGCACTATCTCTGAGCTCTTCTGTTCAAGGCAAGTACTCTACCCACTTGAGCCACAGTGCCACTTCCAGTTTTTTGGTGGTTAATTGAAGATAAGAGTCTCACAAACTTTTCTGCCCGGGCTGGCTTTGAACCACAATCCTCAGATCTCAGTATCAGAGTTTTGGTTCTGATTTACTTCCAGGTTTTCCTCTTCCTTTCTATTTTCATTAGATAATTAACCAAACCCTTAGTAAACCTAAATTGATGCCAAATGATCAACTGTGCATGTAATATGTATCCTTAAAGACCTCCTATTTTTGCATATGAACAACTGTCCCTGTGCTGAAAATGCTAATTACATTATATGATCTGTTCAGATTTTTAGACTTGACCTGCGGATAGATGGCAGAGAAGCCACAACAAGAACCCATTGTTCTGTCATTCATTTTACTCTTCTTTTTCTCTGTGTGTGTGTGTGTGTGTGTGCGCGCGCGCGTGCGTGCACGCACGTGTGCAGGCACATACACGCACAAACCAAAACTCTGGTGCTCTTAGTAAAATGACAAATCCATCACATATTATAAATGTTTTCTAAATCATTTCTTTAAGATCCAAGAAGTAAAAGGCATCATTGCACAACTCTCTACACAGGAATAACACCCAACCCTGTGCCATAAAGTTCAGAAAGTCTTTGAAAGTTAAGAAAACATGAAATAACCAAGAAAACAACCACTTACCAAGTTTACCAGTGGCCCTCCAGAATTCCCATGCTAAAGACAAAAAGTTGACAATGCCATCAGTAAAGTGAGCAAATGCATTTCCCCATGTCATGTATACAAGTCTCCCAGTGAGAACTTCCAGAAGCAACTCACTCTAGGAAGCACCTGCCACCACTATCGCAGGGGAATTCATGCTACCTGCCATTACCAATACTGAAGTCACTGTAAGCAAACAGAAGCAGTAAAAGGACCCCACATTCTGCCGCAGTGTGACCTCTGTGAGAGGTCACCGGAGATACCATCTGGTAACATGAATGCCAGTCCCAAATCAAACAAGTTCAGTTCTAACAATGTGGTAAACCATCCTTTCATGGTCACTCAGAGTTTCCTTCTTACTAAATCCTACCAGTATCTTTTTTTTTTTTGAAATTTTATTATAAAGGTGATGCACAGAGGGATTACAGTTACATAAATCAGGTAATGACTGCATTTCCTTTTGGACAGTGTCATCTTCTCCCTCATTCTCTCCCAGTTTTTCCCCTCCAAACTCCCTCCCCCCCACACACAAAGTTGTAAAGTTCATTTCCAACATAGTGTCTAGTGGGTTTTACTGCTGAATTGGTTCACCCTTTGTCTCTCTGGTTCTGTGCTTTTCCTTCCCCTTCCCAAATCAGCCTTAAACTTACATACAAGACAAAGGTACAGAAATAAAAAAAAACAGCAACAAAAGAGGGTGGGGGAAGAAGGAAAAAGCCCACAAACAGTACAAAAAAAATCCCTTGTTTCCATTTCTTGGAGTTCATTGCCAGTATCTTTTGAGCTGAAGATGGACTTCCTGAAGTGACTTACATTAATGATGGCATCTGTCTGAATATAGTCCATGTCCGAATCCTTCAGCCCCAGCTCCTTCCCTCCTCGCTGGGTAGTGCTAACAATCCCTGCAGTCACAGTGTTCTGTAGAGAAAACGGGCTGCCCAAGGCCACCACAAACTCACCGGCCCGAAGGTCAGATGATCTTCCCAGCAGTAATACTGGAAGGTCAGTCTGCAAGGAGGAAGAGAAGATCAAAGAAAGAACAAATCAAGAGCAGAATCAGTCAATATTCATATATAACCCATATGACACTATCTCTGTCCTTTGGGCATTTATCTACAAAGCACCCTCTTATTCAGGTTTTTGACTGCCTTGTATTTCTTCCTCACAGTCCAATATCATCGAGCTATCTTGTTCAGAGGATCAAGATTACTTCTAAGATGGAAAATCACTGCTCTGTGGAAATCACTATTAGTAACTTGCCAGGGAAGTAATTGGTGAACATTAGTAATTCACTTAGCAACATTCCAGCTCAAAAATTGATAGTCAAAGTGAATCAGCCACAAACAGAAAGGGAACACCCAGGATAGCACTTCTCAAACTGCAATATGCTCACAAACAGCTGATTCCGATTCAGATCTACTCATGTAGATTTTCTCAGGTAGATCTCCATGGAGTCTGAGATCCCCTCCCTTTCTCTTGTGTACCCATGCTGGGACTTGAACTCAGGGCCCATCTTCTTTAGCTTTTTTTCCTTCAAGGCTGGCACTCAACCACTGAGCCACAATTCTACTTTTTGATGGTTAATTGGTGATAAAAGTCTTATAGACTTGACCATCTGGGCTAGTTTTATATCAAGATCCTCCAATGTTAGCCTCCTGAGTAGCTAGGATTACAGGTGTGAACAACCCATGCCCAGCTAAAGAGATGGCACTATTCTAAAAAGCCTATGAACTGCATGATGTTTCTGACATGGAAAATCATACCTTGTACAACAAAGAACCGCAAAGCATTCCTTAGCAGGGGTGAGCCCACTGCAATAATTTCCAGTAGCTTAAGCCAAGCAAAGGAATGAGTTTAATAGAAATAGCCTCTGCAGAAGACGTCACAAAAGAAGAAAAAAGAACATAAAAATTGTTAGGGATATAAGACAGTCATGAAAGAAAATGATTAAGTGAATTATTAAGCCAGACTCAAAGAAACATAGGTTGCATGGTTTCCCTCATTTGTTGTAATTAGAAAGTGCCTATAAATCTATAAGCAAACACACTAGATGATAAAAAACAAAAAAATGCACTTGCACATGATAAAATTTACAGGATTCTAGGCATTCACACAGTGAAACCAAAGGAGGATATTCTTAGGAGAGGGTCACGAAGGTTCAATAGCTATGGGGGCATATGATCATATAAAATGATGTTTATCAAAATGAACTCCAAGAAATGGAAACAAGAGGTTTTATGTTATTTTGCTTCTTTTTTTCTTTTTCTCCTTTGCTTCTGTTTTTGATTTCTGCACATTTTGTCTTATATGCAAGTTTATCTGTTTGGGGGAGGGTAAAGAGGACACCAAAATGGTGAGACAAAGGGTGAACAAATGCAGCACTGTACTCATTAGTAATTATGTTGAAAATGAACTATATAATTTGTGGGTAGGGATGGGAGGGGGAAAAATGAGGGAAGAGGTAACACTCTTCAAAAAGAAATACTCATTGACTTATGTAACTGTAACCCCTCTGTATATCACCTTTACAATAACAATAAAGTAAACTAAAACAGAAAATGAACAGAATGAAAGTAGAAAACAAGCGTACATACGAGATGGAAAGGACATGGTATGATAATGAAGTGGAAAAGAGGCTATTGAGAATCCCCAGATATGCATCCTAAGTGGACTCTTTCTGAGTGGGTTGTCCACTACTCACATTTGGCTCGATCTTAATCAGGGCAAGGTCCAATTTATGATCAATGTCTTTGACAGTGGCTTCATACTGAACCCCACTCTGGAGCTCCACCTGGATCCGCTGCTGGTTGGTGAGGACATGAGCATTGGTAACAATGAGCCCATCCTCAGACACTATGAAGCCAGAGCCACTGGAGGAGGGGATCTCCTGGTTGCTCAGAGGGGACCTGTCTCCAGAAAACAATAGTATCAGCAGAGGGCAGGACAACCAGGGGACCAAGCTCCTGTCTGAGGATCCCTGGGGAACCTTACATGTATTAAACAGTTCTCCATCATAGTTTTTCAGACATTTTGTTTTTTTTCCTGTCTGCATTTTCATCATCTCCATGAATAAACGAACTGCATGCAATGTGCCCTAGTCATCTCTTTCAAATATAATTGAGGGTGGCAGGACTTCCCTCTTCCACTGTCACCCTGCTTTAGTGGGTCTGTGCAGCAACCTGTAAGTCTGCTACAAAGAGGTCAGACTTAACAGTAATACTGGAAGCAAAAGTGGGCCTGTGTCACAGTATCAGGAACCCACACAGGTCAGGATTCAACAGGGTCTGATGCTGGCTAAGTTTCCACTAGCACCTAGCCTTATAACACAGGACCCTGGTGCAGGATCTCCTGTCATGCAAGTAATGAGGATTGGGCCAAATCACCACCAAGATGCCTGCCCACTGGCCTCCTACATTTAGCCTGTGGGACACAAGGGCAAAACAAAGGAAAAGCTACAACCACCTAAACTCACAAGGGTAGCCCAGATTTGGAAGTCAGAATCCTTTTGTTTTGCTCTTTGGACAGATAACCTTGAATGGATTTTTTTTTCCTTTGTTACTTTTGCAGTGCTGAGGATGGAACTCCAAGGCCTAGTGCCTGCTAAGCAAGAGCTCTTACCCAGGAGCTGTGTGTATGTGTGTGTGTGTGTGTGAGAGAGAGACAGAGAGAGACAGAGAGAGAGACAGAGAAAGACAGAGACACAGAGAGACAGAGACAGAGACACAGAGACAGAGAGGGAGAGGGAGAGAGAGGGGGAAGAGAGAGAAAGTGTGTGTGTGTATGTGTGTGTGTGAGAGAGAGAGACAAAGAGAGACAGAGAGAAAGACAGAGAGACAGAGACAGACAGAGACAGAGACACAGAGACAGAGAGGGAGAGGGAGAGGGAGAGAGAGGGGGAAGAGAGAGTGTGTGTGCATGTGTGTGTGAGAGAGACAGAGACAGAGAGAGAGAGAGAAAGGGAGAGAGAGGAGGAAGAGAGAGAATGTGTGTGTGAGAGACAGAGACAGGGAGAGAGAGAGAGAGAGTCTGTTTGTTTTAAACCACCATTAGGGTTCTTTAGGGCCTGGGGTAGGAGGGAACTCAGAAGCAGGCAGCAGATGCTCCCTGCGTGCTTTACCTGCGGAACAGCTGCAAGTGAACCACAGCTGGCGCCACCTTCTCCACCACCGCTGCGATGAAGTTGTACTTGCTGCGGAGTCGGCCTGCGCTTCCGGTCCCTGTGAAGAAATGCTCCTTGCTTGGGGCCAGTGGGAACCTGGCTTCCTGGCCAGTCAGGCATCACACTTCAAATCTCTCCGAGGATGCCCCTCCCCTCTCCCCTGCTCCCCCCGCTCTCCTAAGAGGTGTCAAGAGCCCCTCCCACCCATGCAGCTATGCCATGGGATACCAAATGGTGAAGAAATTTTAAAATGGTGAAGGAGGGGAAAGCACGTGGCAGATAAAGCAAAGGGGAAGGAGCAGGGACCAAGCCCTGTTGAAGCCCTGGGCAAGTGGCCCAGTGATGAGTGCAATGAAGAAATGATAACGGTGGTGTGTCAGTGTGGGGGTGTGCCGGGGTCTTGGGGTTTGAACTCAGGGCTTGGACTCTGTCCCTGAGTTTTCCTGCCCAAGGAAAAACTTCCCCTTGATCCACAGCTCCACTTTGAGCTTTTTGCTGGTTAATTGCAGAGAAGAATCTTAGGAGCTGGTTTTGAAATGCAAATCCTCAGATCTCAGCCTCCTGAGTAGCGAGGATTACAGGCGTGAGTCAGCGGCACCCGGGCCTAACAGGCTTCTTCAAGTTTCAGCCTCGTCCCGAGGGCGCGAGCCGACCCCATGCTCACCTAGAGCCCCGCAGCCGCCCTTCTGCACGGGCACGGCTGGGAGCGCACCGCGGAGGCGCGCCGCGCGGTTCTCGGCGCGGAGCGCGCACAGGCTGGGGTAGGTGCGCCCGTCGCTGCCGCACACGGCCGCCCCGGTCTCCGGGCAGCCGCAGGTGCCCAGCCGCGCGCCGCCCCCCGGCTCCCGGCGGAAGGGTTCCTGGCAGCGCAGCCCCAGGGCGCACGGCCGGCCCCGCGTGCCGCCGCAGGCTTCGCCCTCGGCCGCGGCGCAGACCCGGCAGCAGCGGCAGCGGTCGAGCACTGGCGTCGTCCCCGCCGAGCAGGTGGGCAAAGGGGGACAGCGTGTCGGATCACAGGTCTCCGGGCAAGGCGGCGAGGCTCGGAACCTCCTGGCCTCCACTCTGAGCTCAGGCGGCAGAGGTAGCAACAGCCATAGCAGGAGGAATTGTCCCAGCCCAGCTGGCTGCAGCAGCGGTCTATGCATCATGTCCCCTGCCCTGTAAGCTTCCACTTACTTCACTCTGGGCTCACAAGCGCCCTTCCTGGCCCGGATGTCGCCTCTGCCAACCTCTAAGGCTTTAAGGGGCAGAGCCTGGCACACACCATTCCCACCACCCGTCCCGCCCCAGGGCCAGGACCCCCCCTCCCCGCAACCGTGATGGGAGGTCCCCCAGCTTTGACCCCTAAGGGGCCTGCCTCCTGAAATCCATTAAAACCAGTAATGCAGTAGACCGATATGCCATGTCACCCACCCACGGCTGGAAGGTCTGTGTTAGAAAAACACATAGCTATATTTCAAGATTTCACATGGTTTTATTACAAAACAAGCAACAAAACAAGCTTAGAAAATTATTTGTTGCTACATACCAATTAAAAGATCACATAAAATGAGAAGCCTGTTTCCCTGCACCCACGTGGAGTGCATTTCACAAGAGAAACACGACTGTCAAGCAAGGAGAGGGGGTCACACTGTGCTTTGCCAAATGTTCACTTATTCAAACTTTATCTGGTATGCGTGACTGTAATTGACTCCTGCAGGCAATAACAGACAAGAGGGTGGAGGGGATGTTGGTTAATATATATAACCTGTTCATCTTTGACATGCTCCAAGTTAAACAAAGCTAACTTAAGAAACTCAGTTTCAAGGGTGCATTACACTTCCCTGTGCCTGTTTCTCTACTTAACATTGAAAGCAAACCTATCAAGTCCTACTGCTCCGCTATTTCGCCATACATCTTACAGTACATATCAGTGTACATTTATGTTCAGAATACAAGAAAACAAAAACTTGCTCTCAGTAAACTAAAAATCTGGAGCTTAAAATCAACTCTCACAGGAGCTTAGCTTTGTATCCAGAATGGACTGCCACTGTTTGGACCTGAGGTCACTCTCCAGACAAACTATTTTTACCAAACTCCACTTGATCTTGAGTAAAAGCAAGTCCATCAAAGCTCTCAAGAATAACATGACAAGCAGTTCAGCTAATACTGTTTCTCCTATCAATCAAGACTTAAGAAGCCTCATTGGAAGAGCCAACTAAGAGATAGTTTTTATTCCATGAAGAAAATGCTACAACCTCACCAATAACCCTTAAGATGAATTTCAGAGCCTATATATTTGACTGCTAACTAGCACTCCCTTCCTGATTTTTTCATCGGGTTCCTTTGTATACATTTAAAACTAATGCTTCAGTAATATATGCACCATCTTTTCATCACATTAAAAGAATGGCAGGCCAGGCATGCTGGCATGTCCCTGAAATCCTAGCACTCAGGAAGCTGCAACAGGAGGATTGTGAGTTCAAAGCCAACCTGGGCGACACAGAGAGATCTTGTCTCAACAAACAAAACCAACCTAACAAGCAAAAAGACTATGATATTTTTTTTTCCAGAAAGAGAGAAATATGGACAGAAAACAAACTGAAAGAAGGTTTTTGGAATGTAAATTATTTTAAGCTGCAGAGAAGACAATTCTATTTTTCTGATATTGGAATTACATTAACAATGCTCTCACTTGGAATTCCTAAGTATTTGCTATTAGAATCCTTGAAAGAAAGTCCTTGTTTTCCCTTTATGAAAATAAAAGACGGATTGTTTATATAATCTAGCATACTCTCAAACAAAACTTGCTGAATAAGAAACCAATCAGCTTACTAAAATGGCCAATTAATTTAGCAATAGTGATTACTATTAGAAGATTTCTAGCAGGGACTTCATGTTAAAAAGAGAAATGGTTGATTGTGACAACTTAAAACACCAAAAGATGACATCATTTCCATGAGTCAGGGAATGTTTAAAGACACTTCAAAAGTTCCTAATTTGTTTTCATTAATTTCACATCTCACATTGTGCATTTCATGGACTAAGTAAATAATTTTCTGGAGGAAAATCTGAAGATAAAACCAGAGATAAGAGGCTTTAGGAATTTGGAACAGCTTTTTAAAATCAGGCTACTTAACACAGACTCATACATAAATAATTCCCAAACCAAGAATTTCTGAGAAATAAAAAGTACTCAATAGTTTATTTTTAAAGAGAGGGAAATTCAGGAACATGAGGACAAACCTAATTGTGAGACAGCTGTAATCCAGACTTCAGGGTAACTATACTCCTTCCTACCCCCAAGCCACTGAACTCTTCATATGCTTTCTCTTCTGCTTTAGTAGCAACACAGGAGCAGGGATTTACTTGGTGAAAAGTGGTTTGCTTGCCAGACACTGGTAGCACATGCCTACAATCCTAGCTACTCAGAAGGCTGAAATCTGAGGATCGTGGTTCAAACCCAGCCTGATAAGAAAGTTCACGAGATGGGGCTGGGAAGGTGGCTCAGTGGTAGAGCGCTTGCCTTGCATGCATGAGGCCCTGGGTTCGATTCCTCAGCACCACATAAGCAAAAAGAAAAAAAGCCGGAAGTGGCGCTGGGGCTCAAGTGGTAGAGCGTTGCCTTGAGCTGAAGAGCTGAGGGACAGCGCCCAGGCCCAGAGTTCAGGCCCCATGACCGGACCCCCCCCCCAAAAAAGGAAAGTTCATGAGACTCTCAACTCCAATCAACCACCAAAAAAGCCAGATGTGGAGAGGTGGCTCATGTGGTAGAGTACTAGCCTACCACTAGGCCTCTCTCCAACTTCCATACAGAAGTTGAAGAGACAAATGCTCTTAAGGACATGGAAATAATACCTCATACAATGGAAGAAGGCACATGCTAAAATTGGGGTGGGAAATTCAGTCTTCTAGGTTCTTCTGAGACCTGGGCAATCTCAAGCCAGCAATTGAAAACCTCTTACTAAATGTCTTTATGCCATTTTGTGTTCCTTAAAAAACATTAATATCCTAAGATTATCTTTTATCTGCCCAGTGGTAAATACATCATCAGATTACAGAGTTTGACATGCAAGTGCACCTGACTTCATCCAAAGGGCAACAGGAGGAGAGAGAAAAAGCAATCAACAGACACCCAATATACAACACTTACTATTAGACAAATGTCCTATTCAATAGAGGATTCGCAAGGCAAGAAGTCAAGACAGTCTGTCTCCACCAAAACAAAACTTTCTCCTTTCTAGAAAACATGGATCAAAAACACTTAGCAGAGCCAGGTGCTGGCAGCTCATGCCTATAAATCCTAGCTACTAAATATGCCTAGGCAGGAAAGTCTGTGAGACTCTTATCTCAATTAACCAGCAAAAAGCCAGAAATAGAACTGTGACAAATGTGGTAGAGTGCTAGCCTTGAACAGAAAAAGCCACAAGAGGCCCTGTGCTAGCAAACCTAAAGCCAAAATGGTCAGCAGGATGAATTAACATCCATCTATCCTCAGCACCCAGGTGACTGATCACACACTTATCAAATAACAGTTTTGGGAGCAATGTCTGTTCTGTTCTCCATGGTCATAACATTTAACACTGATGAACCCATACTTGGGCCCTGATGCAGAACTAGACTGGTAAGTCTGTTTCCCACATCGACAGCAGTGGGATTCACAGAGCAACAAGAGGAAAACAGTAATCCTCAAAACTTGCTGGAATTGAAGCATCTTCATGCCTCAAAAGAGATCCCTACCTCTTCCTCTGGGAGGTCTCTTGGTGATCTGCTGTGATTTTGAGGGCCACCCCTAGATTCTAGCACCAGCTCTAAGATGGAACCCAGTCAAGATGGAGCGTGGGTCTCCCCTACCCCAGTACCTTTGGTCTGAGTTAATGTCACCTTACTGATCCCCAAATGTTAGCCAATAAAAAGCAATGGGGAGAAAACCAGACAACTGTGTATGAACTGAAAACCAAAGAGAACTAAAACCCAAAGAAGAAAAGAACCTAAAACTAGGACAAGGAAATAAAACTTGGTGAGGGATGAAACTGAACTCCCAACCTCCTTCCAATGAGAAAGCACTGAAAATGACCTCTTCCAGGATGACCTTGGAAGAGTTCAACAGCATCAAAGAATGCTCTCTCCACTGAATATGCCTATGAGTCTAACCTAGTGATTTTCCTAAATTAAATATACTGCATTGATAATAAAACAACAACAACAAAAAAGCCATCTGGATGGGCCATTCTCATAGAGCATCCACAGGAATATGAGGCCCTAAAGGCCTTTTGACTGTCCTCCAGCCAACAGGGTAGAGAAACTGAGTCACATCTCCCTTTGCCCCTCCCATGGCACTGGGCTCCATCACACATCAGAGGTCCGTATGTTTTCATCATCGAGGTTGAACATGAATGGTTTCTCCTTGGGATGTTGGGGCTCTGATCTGTGCCTTATCCGGGAACTTGGTGACACCCCATCAGTATTGCTCTCCCCGAGTCGGGGCAGGAACAGCGAGTCCTCTGGAGCCTCCTGGGCTGGAAGGAGCTTTTCCCGGGCCTGGGGGACAGGTGTCCAGGGTTGCCAAGAGGAGGCCACAGAAGGAGCCTTGCTGAGGGCTTTCTTTTCTTCCACAGGCAGCCGCCCTCTCCACAAGACAGAGGTAGGCCCAGCTGGAAGGCTGGGGCCTCCAGGCCGAGTCAAAGAAATGGATCTGGAAAAAGACATTTCCTAGAAACATAAAAGAGAAGAAATAACAGCAAGTAAGGGGTTTTTCTAACGATATTTATTCCAAAGTTGCAGGAGCAATGCCCACCCAGAACCACAACTTCCTCGTCTGGAGACATATGTCTGCAAAATCTGGCTGTGTTCAACAAAGCCAGAACTGTAGGGTACACCTGCAGTCCAAACTGTGCCTTCCATGGGGGTTTGAGACAGGAAGGTCACTCCATCCCAGAAGATCAGAGCCAGGTTATCAACACAGCCAAATCCCATCTTAAAAATAAATTAAACCGTCTGTACATATCACCTTTATAATAACAATTTTAAAAATCTTAAAATAAAATTAATTAATTAAAAAGTTGCCAAGTGCTACTCAGGGTGCTGAGTCTAAGAACTGTGGCTCAAAGCCAGCCTGAAAGACTCTTACCTCCAATTAGCAACCAGAAAACCAGAAGTGGTACTATGGCTGAAAGTGGTAGAGCACCAGTCTTGAGCAAAACAGAGCTTAGGGACAGCATCTAGGCCCTGAGTTCAAGCCCCACAACTCACAGAAAAAAAAAAAACAAAAAACTAAGGACAGCACCTAGTACTGAGTTCAAATCCCAGGACCAGTGCAAAACAAATATATAAATAAAAAGGTAATCAGAATTCACTCCATGTGTCAGCATATACCTAGCAGTGAGCCTTGCAGGACACAGAAGACACTCCATGTCTCTGTCCAATCTGAACTTACGTCCTCTAACCCTCCCCCTGCACCCCTCCCCCCCTGCAAAAAGAAAAAAAAAGGAAAAGAAAAATGTTTACCCAAATTAGTAAAGAAAGAGAAAAACAAGCTAGCTGGCCTGTAGCTTCAGCTGCATGTAAGGCCTGGGCTGCCTGCCTACATCACCAAATAAAAACATTCGCTTAAGGAAAATTTATCTCTTAAGTCGACACTGTACGACAGAACGGAAGTGACTTACTCTGGGGTGACACTTGAGGGCCTGGACAGCTGCCCCAATTGCCTTGATCCAGCTGTGCATGTCTTCAGGGCTGTCTGCCTGCAAAACATCCACAGCACTTACATGGGCCGGTTTTGGCACTGGAATTTCAACATTCAAGCTGCTGGCTCAAGTTTAAATTCATAAAATCACACCATTAGGGCTGGAAGGGACCTCAGAAATCAGAAGTTTGAGGACTTTTGAGGACATTGGTGTTTTTTCCTCTGCAATATCTTATTTGACACCCTATAAATAAAAGTCCAAAGTAGAGCTGCTTCAGGCAGTGTCAGGGGGCTTGCTCCCCATCTTTTGTAAAACTTCCTCTCTCCTTCACTGCTACTCCAGCCTTTTGGCTTTACAGACAAGAACACGTGTCCTGGAAGACCAACGCTCAAGGTTCATGGCTCATCCAGCTTTGAGTTCTACTCACTCTTAATGTAGTCATCTTTCTACTAGAACTACCAGAACACAAGAACTCCTTTCAACAACAAACAGTTTAACAAAATGAACAGCAGGAAGCTGGAATATGTTGTTATGGAATAGAAGTTAAGGTAAGGAGGGCAGATAAACGGAGAGAGGAAAGATAGGCAACTGCAGTCATAATATTCAATGTGCAGCTGTGAAAATGGAGCCAGGTAGGTTGAAGGGATGGGAAGAGATGAGGGAGAATAATGAAAGGGGTGGCACTGATCAAGATGCATTATATTTAAAAGCTGTTATGTTAAATGGAAATCTCTTTGTACTACTAATAATAAAATTATTTAAAAAGAACGTTATGGACCTATGATCTCTGTACAACTACATTATTGTCACCACCACCACCACCACCACCACCATCATCATCATCATCAAACCCCACTTTTAATTACATTAAGGCCAAATCCCTCTGCTACATTCCCAAGATATGTATGACCATATGTCTTCACTCAGAAAAGGATCTTTTCTCAAAGTACTACCCAGATCTGTCCTGAAAATTCACCTAGGCCTCAACCATTGCAGGCCTTGGAGAGTTAAGCTGAGGAATGTTCTAGACAAAAATATGGAGGGCTGAGAATGTAGCTTAGTGGTAGAGTGCTTGCCTAGCATGGATGAAGCCCTGGGTTCAATTTCTTCATGCCACATCAACAAAAAAACCCAGAAGTGGCGCTGTGGCTCAAGTGGTAAATCTCTAGCCTTGAGCACAGAGAGGCTCAGGGACAGAGTCTAGGCCAGGAGTTCAAGTCCCAAGACCAGGGGGAAAAAAAAAAAAGCAGAGCCAAAATATTTTCCTCTAGAAAACGACTTCCAATTCCAGCAGGGGGCAGCAGCAGCTCTAAAAAGAAAAGGAGGGAAAGCAACAGAGTTGGCTTAGTTAGCAAGGTCTCTCTTTGGGTGCTTTCTAACCCTTTGAGTTCAGTTCTGGGGAGCTCAAACATTTTCTGAGGGCCCTACTGGGGGTTCCACGCTACAGCAGGTGGAAGCTCACAGGTAGGTACAAGAATGAACCTCTGACCTCCATAAGTTTCTGTTTGTTCACTTATCTTGATTGACTCACTAAGAGCTCCACAGAAGCACCCAGCATGAGATTACAGGATGGTATGGACAGTGGGCAAACACTGACACCAACCTCAAAGTTCTCTGCTTCTGCTCTCACTTGGTCATGCTCAAAGTGACTCCTCTTTGCCTTCTATCATGAAAAAAACGTGAGCCATTTTGGTTTGTTTTCATTCTTGAACTTGCAAGCTCCTATGTCTTCCTGCCAACCAAATAACTCCCCGCCATGGTTAGATGACACAAGTGGCCACAAGGGGCCACATGTGCTGTGCCTGTCAACTTACTTACACTTTCTTCCCCCTTGTCTCTTTCCAGTTATTTGGCAATCTGGTCGTTCCCCAAGGAAAACCACATCTGTTCCAAAAACACAACCAGGATTAGGTCTCAAGGACCAAGTACAGGCTTGCTCCACAGGCAAACCACTGAGAGAATTAAATGGGCTCAATTAGATAAACCTTATTTAAACAGTGTGGTATAGCGCTTGCTTAGAATGTGTGAGGCCCTGGGTTTGATCTCAAACACCAAAATTAATTAATTAATTAATTGTTGGTTGTGGGGCTTGAACTCCGGGCCTGGGTGCTGTCCCTCAGCTCTTCAGCTCAAGGCAAGCACTCTACCACTTGAGCCACAGTGTCACTTTCCATTTTCTGAGTGGTTTTTGGAGATTAGAGTCTCACAGACTTTCCTGCCTGGCTGGCTTTGAACTGAGACGCTTAGATCTCAGCCGCCTGAGTAGTTAGGATGACAGGCGTGAGCCACCAGTGCCCAGTTTCAAACAGCCAAATTTCAATTCATATACATGTATTCATATTCATATATGTGTGTGCACATATACACATACATAATTCAAAAAGCAACTATTCTAATTGAGTAATTCCTTTCCATCGGGACACAGAAAGAAACTACCATTGTATAGGAACCACAGTATCAATTTCTGTTTTTAAAGAACTGGGATCCAGTTTGAGGGCAGTGAAATTTCAATTAAAACAAAAACTATTGTATGAAAATATCAAGGTTTATATATGTAGCTGGCTTTCATGGACAGTCCATGCTTAGCTTTTATCAAAATCTAAAAGATATCTCAAAAACTGTATCATGAGATAGCTTCAGGAGCCAGGGGGAGAAAGGAGAAATGAGCTCCTCACATCTCATGGTGATTTTCTCGAAGCCTAAAAGTGCTGAATCCAGGTAGAACAGAGGGGCACTGTCCAACCCATACCTTCCTCTCTTTCTGGTGCACTTAGCTGTGTGCATTTGTTGGTGCTTGGTCCCAAATAAAAGTAGGGTTTCTGTCTTTTGATGGTAGTTTTTTGGTTTGAAGTTGGTTTTCTGTGCCATTACCATGATTTGAACGTAGGGTTTGATAAGGCTAGTGCTCTACCACTTGAGCCACATCTCCAGTTCCAGCTTTTTGCTGGTTGATTGGAGATAATGGTCTGCTGTGGCTGACTTTGAATCCCAATCCTCAGATCTCAGCCTCCTGAGTAGCTAATGTTACTGGTGCGCTGAGTAGTTAATGTTACCAGTATGAGCCACTGCTGCCCAGCCTGACAGCAGTTTTTTTTTCTTTTTTTGGTCCGGTTGTGGGGCCTGTACTCTGGGCCTGGGCACTGTACCTCAGCTCTTCAGCTCAAGGCTAGCGCTCTACCACTTGAGCCACAGCGCCACTTCCGGCTTTTTTCTTATGTGGTGCTGAGGAATCGAACCCAGGGCCTCAGGCATGCAAGGCAAGTGCTCTACCACTGAGCCACCTTCCCAGCCCCTGACAGCAGTTTTTGATATGACTAAAACAAGGTATTAAACTAAGTCATTTTGATCTGTGGTATTACTGCAGTCCTTTACTGTGTATTCACTATAAGCTCAGTATTATAACAAGTGCAGTGGTTTGAATCAAGGAATTATAGTGGCCATCCAGTATCTCCCTCCAGTTATTGGCACTGTCTTATCCTAAATTGTTAGGCAATTATCACTTCCTTCCTTCTTCCTCTACCCTCTTCCCAAGGACCAATCCAATCTTTAACACAGCCTTCCATGTAGATTGTACATATAGTTTGAAGTGATGCCATTCACTTTGTAGTCTGAGCTAAGCAGTAAATATCCACAGAGCTCTAGCCTAACAGTGAAATTCACCGGTTAATTCTCTCTCAGTCACTCTTGTCCTGACTTAGCACACTAATCCTGTAACTGGATTTATACCAAGTCAACAACACCAGTTTTCTTTCTTTTTTTAATTCATCATCATGATGCCTTCAAAAGTATTAGTGTGCTATTTTATACATGAGGGATGAGAGCACGAGGAGAGCTGTCCGGCGGGGAGGCATGCTGCCCTCCTCCGTCCATTGGCCCTTCCCACAGTGTCCTCAGCACTGACTCTCTGGGCCACCCTGTGTCTCTTCCTGAAACAACACCAGTTTTCACTATGGTTTTTTTTTTTTCTTTTTGGCAGTCCTGGGACTTGAACTCAGGGCTGAAAGTTGTCCCTGAGCTTTTTAACTCAAGGCTAGTGCTCTACCACTTGAGCCACAGCTCTACTTCTGGTTTTCTTGATAGTTAATTGGAGATAAGAATTTCACAAACTTTCTTGCCTGAGCTGGCTTTGAACCACAATCCTCAGCTCTCAGCCTCCTGAGTAGCTAGAATTACGGGTATGAGCCAACAGTGACTAGCTACATTTCTCATTTCGATAACTAATTTTCCTCTTGATAAATTCTAGATTCTTGGCCAGGGGTCTCTCAAACTCTTGGCCAGGGGTCTCTCAAACTTCTTTCTGCTTCAAGTCGCGATCTTATTTTCATTTTCATTAGCTATTATAGGCGTGAGTGGGGCCCAGCTTCTTTTTCTGTTTTGATCTATATTCCTTCATCCCCTCAGGGAGCATGTTTTTTTCTTTTCTTTTCTTCTTTTTCTGCCAGTCCTGGGGCACTCAGGGTATCCCTGAGCTTCTTTTTGCTCAAGGCTAGCACTCTACCACTTGAACCACAGTACCATTTCCAGCTTTTTCTGAGTAGTTTAGTGGAGATAAGAGGCTCATGGACTTTCCTTCCCTGGTTTCAAATGGTAATCCTCAGATCTCAGCCTCCTGGATAGCTAGGACTACAAGCATGAGCCTGGTGCCAGGCTGAGCTTGTGTCTTTCTTGTAGTATATTTGGATTTATTTGTCACATCCCATCTTTCATGTTAAGATCACCTACTTGAAAATTTTGTTTCTATTTGACAGGTACCAGTGGCTCACATCTGTAGTCCTAGCTACTCAGGAGGCTAAGATCTTAGGACTAAGGTTCAAAGCCAGCCCAGTTGGGAAAGTGTGAGGCTCTTATCTCCCTCAAATTAACAAACAAAAAGACAAAAGTAGAGCTTTCACTCAAGTGATAGAGCCTTAGCCTTGTGCAAAAACACTGGACAGCATACCCAGGTCCTGAATTCAAGCCCCAGAATCAGCACCCAAAAAAATGAATATTTACTGGGTGTAATGAAGTGGTAGATCATTCATCCATCATTATAGTGTCACAGCACCCTGCGTACTCCCCTCTAGTTCATCTACACACTCCTCCCTTTCATGGTTTAACTTCCATGTACTTGTCCAGAACATTCTCTTAACAAACCCAAGATAAAATGTCTAGCACTCTAAGGACGTGCTATAATATCTACTGAATACAATAACTAGAAACTCTAGTTCTACATCTACAGTTTGAACTTGAAATGGAATGGCAATGCCGAGTAACTAGCTTTAACACCACAGTCCAGCTCCCAGGCCTTCCCTCTGCCATCTCCTCTGGAGAAGCATGGCCTAGAGAGGACTAAGTGCTAGCATGTCTGCTGGACTCCAGAGGAAGAATGTAAGACGCACTATGGGTCTTTCTGCTTGTGGGGAACAGAGAGTAAAAGTTACTCTGAAACCTCAAAGGCTCCAATTGGGAAGCCTGCCTTTAAGTCAGCATCCTGCTTATCAACTTTAATGGTAGAAATCCCATATCAACATGATGCTAGGGACTTCAACATTCATTGGCTACCTGGGCAATCTGGATGGGGAGCTGGCCATGAACATCTAGGCCCTGCTGGAAACTCTGCCTGGCTAGAAGGGTTTGGGAGAGCCCCAAAGCTGGGGGGTGGGGAGGGGAACTCCTGAGAGGTGCACGGCCAAAAGCCCAAACAATGGCTTTCTGTGCAGCTGGCTGTGCACCTGCTCCTGCGCAGGTCCCTCAGTGAGTCTGTGCTTCCGCACCCAGAAATGTCCAAAAACAGGCAAGACATAAATACCCTCTGGAGCAGAAGTGAAATCAGCCACTACTTCTCCTTTCTCTGCTTAGCTGAGGCCTAGTAGTTGACAGCAGCTGCTCTACACTGGTCGTCTCCAGTACCATGGCTGACCTGTTTGTGCTATTTTATGGTTGGGAAGCTTTTGGCAAACATCCTGTTTAGAATGAAATGGGACTCAGACTCTCAGAGGCTAAATTTACTGCCGAGAAACGTCAAGTGAAAGAAAAGAGAAAGCAAGGGAAAGGCAAAGGGCTATTCGGCAGCCATTCTGAAATGGAAACCTGAGTCCTTTCACAGTGTGTATTTTACCTGTACGTAGAATGTCCTGGAGCTGGTTATGATTTCAAACAGGTTGTCTCTCATTAAGAGATCACTAGATAGAAAAGAGAACATTAGTTACCCTGCATGCTGGTGTAGTACCTTAAGCACTTGATTGGTCCTAAGGCCCAGCCCCAGTGCCCTCTATCATATAAAGGTGGGGGGGGGCCTGGGCCATTCCCCCTTCGGCTTCTCCCTCTCCTAAAGGGCTCAAGAAGAGTATGCCACCTTGATGGACCCCACCACACCCACCAACTCTACCAGCTCCACCAGTTCTAATTTGATAGTTAATTTCCCTCCCAAATCTCCTGCCTAACATCCACCATACCTCTTTCCCTCCTTACCTTCTTCCCTTCTGTCCTTCCTTTCTTCCTCTTCTTTCTCCTTCTCCCTCCCTCCCTCTGTCTCCTTCCCTCCTCCTTCCTTCCCTCCTCTCCTTGCTTTCTTGCTTCCTTCCTCTTCTTCTCTTTCTTTTTCCCTTTTCCCTCTCTCTCTCCTTCCCTCTTTTCTTCCCTCGCTCAGACTTTCTCTTTTTTACAGATAAGGACATTCTGATTCCAACAGCTGAAATGACGTATATGTTCAAAGTACCAGAGATTAAAACCCACTTCTGACTCCAGAGTTTGCCTTTCCTGAGTTCACTATCATTCGCCTCTGCTCTGAAAGCCAATTCTCCATTTCTAAAACCTTCCTTCATCCAAGCAGCAATCCCACCCACTTTGCTGCATTCCCGCTCCTGGCCTCACTCTACTGACCTAGGAGACAAGGAGCTAAAGAGGAGAAAAAGTGGGAGATGAGTTTAAGTTTTACTTCAGGGACAGAGGATGTAGTTCCGTGTGGGAGCACAGTGGTAGAATCCAGCTGCACAAGGCTTTGTGTTTTGTCCTCAGCACCATGAAAAATAAAACAGCTTCTAATATTGTGGAAGTTTTGGAAACAAAGTTCTGACTTCTGCAAGGCAGAGGGCAAGAAGTAGCTGATGCTGAGAGACAAGCTTAAGTCAGCCCCAATTGTTGACAGAGTTAAATGCCGGCCATGTGTATCCAGTCACTGTGGGACTATATAAGGAGTAAAAGACTTAACTGACCTCAAGTGCTGGCAGTTCATGCCTGTAATCTTAGCTACTCGGGAGGTTAAGATCTGAGGATCATGGTTCAAAGAAAAAAAAAGACAAGGGAAGGGGAGTAGACCTGGGCCAAATTCCAACTCTACTAAGAAAAAAGGCATTTGGGATATGTTTCACAAACTCTGTCAGCCTTTGCAACGCCAAGTGAAAAAATGAAAATGAAAACACATCCTTTGGACTGTTCCCAAGAAGACACAAAAGGCATTTAGAAGAATGTGGGTCACTTAAATTCCATTTCACTATTTTTGTGTGTGTATGTGTTGGTACTGAGGCTTGAAATCACAACCAGAGCACTGTCCCCTAGCTTTTTCACTCAAGGCTGGCACTCTACCACTTAAGCCACACCTCCACCTCTGGGTTTTTGCTGGTAAATTAGAGGTAAGAATTTCACGGACTTTCCTGCCTGGTCTGGCTTTGAACTGTAATCCTCCTATCTCAGTATCCTGAGTAGCAAGGATTTCTATTTCACCACCTATTATTAGTACTTTCTGAACTTGTGAATAGAGATGGCTCTTTTCAGCCTGACCTACCATTTACTATTTGTGTATATGCAGTGTCATCACATAATCCACTACTGAGGAGGTAGAACAAAATGGGCAGGAAATCTCCCTTCCTCTCATATCAGTACCCATATTCTATGTCACCTTTCAATTCACTTCAGGTCAATTCAAATGTTCATCCACTACCCAGGAGTCCTGACTCTCCTTACTGGGTCTAGACCAGCTGCAGTCTCTCAGGCCTAGAGGCTACAGAACCTGGGATTTCCTTTCCTGCTAGCCCCACCTCTCTGAAACGTTTTACTTAAGAGTTCTGACTCTGAACAGAGTAAGAGTCTGGGAAAGTTTGAGGCTCTCATGGAATTGAATCCTACCTTAGCTCCCCAGTCTTCCCCAATATGCTCAGGCAGCCTCCTATCTGTACTGGCCCTCCAGGGTCACAGCAGCTCTAAGGCTCTAGTTGTGCCCAGCTGTCCATCTATCCAGTCTCTCTGAAGCCACACTTAGTCTATCCACAGCTACTTTCATGAATTCCATATTCTCACGGGGACTCTCCCCAGTCTTCTATACTTTGTGATTGTCATATGCCAGTCCCAGTAGTTTTTCATCTCCAACTTCCTTAGTCCACCCAACACATTGTTTTCAGGTAAGATTGTCCTGTGCTGTCATGAGAGAACAGATGCCTACTGCTAACAGCTTCTCTGGTAATACATGTGAGCTTTACATGTACAGTTTTCAGAATAAAGAGACATAGACTTAGTCTCTAAAGATTACAATCTGATTCTGGGCCGGTGGCTCACACCTGTAATCCTAGCTACTCAGGAGGCTGAGATCTGAGGATCTTGGTTCAAAGCCAGCCCGGTCAGGAAAGACCGTGAGACTCCTATCTCCAATAAACCACTAGAAAACCAGAAGTGGCGCGGTGGCTCAAGTGGTAGAGCGCTTGCCTTGAGCTGAAGAGCTGAGGGACAGTGCTCAGGCCCAGAGTTCAAGCCCCACAACTGACAAAATAAATAAATAAAATTACAGTCTGGGTGTGGTGGTACGTGTCTATAATCCCAAGCATAGAAGGCTAAAGCAGGAAGATTATGTAAGTTTGAGGCCAGCCTGGGCTACACAGTGAGATTCTGTCTCAAAAAAACGGGGAGGAAGAGAGGGAAGGGGAAGGGAAGGGAAAGGAGGGAAGGAGAAGGGAAAAGAAAGGAAGAAAAGGGAAGGGAAGGAAAGGGAAGGGAAGGGAAGGAAAGGAAGGGAAGGGAAGACCGACAGCTGTAGAGCACCTATACATGCCCAGCTGCCCTTGGGGGTCTCAGGTTCAATTCTAAGAGCATCTGTCTTTTAGCCTGCCAAGAACGAAGCTTGCCCCATACACCATGGCTCTTGGAGGGTAACCACTTCCTGGTGGATAAAGGAACACGTTAAAAATAGTTCTTCTTCCTGTCCAGTGATGATAGCACGGAGACATCCGAGCTCTAGTCTTTGTTACTACATTCTTTCTTTTCTCCTCAAGAATGTCCTCGTAAATCAGAAGGGGTTTCAATGTGTTCTTAGCGCTTGTCAGCAGTCTGCCACAGACACCAGACTCTGATCACCTTCTCTATGAGGCTCTTGACCTACCTCAGAAGGGTAGTAAATAGAAGCTTTCAGAGGATAAATGGAGGCTTGATCAGCAAAGAATAAGAAGAGATAATTACCCAGACTTAACCAGACACTCATGGGTCTTGAGAACATCCTTGAGAAATATAGTGCGCAGAGGTTCTCGGTCCTAGTGAGAAAAAGCAAAATAGAAAGGTGAATATGTCATCTCATCCAATGATCTGAGCAGCTGACCGTGCCCCTCTCTCACAAATACTTGGCAGAACCCAGGTTGCCAAACAACCTGGTCTCAAAATAAATCATTAAGAAAAACTAACTCCCTAACCATAAAGCCAATCACTGCACTAAGGTCTCATTACTGTCCTTGTAAAGAATTTCATGTGGGAGGGAAGGAGAGAGAGAAGGTGGGAGAGAGAGGGAGAGAGAGGAAGACAACATACTACATCTTTATTCATCTGCACTATCCTGTAGATGTGTCCAGGCCTCTCCTGGCCTCTGTGACCTCTCAGAAGATCCTCGAAGCCTCCACCCACCTGCTCACACTTGAAGTAACAGATGGTGAAGTCATCCAGTGCAAAAAAGCGACGTTTCCAGCTCTTTCGCTGAAATGAAAAATGAAGAGCAAGGCATTAGGGAAAGGCCCAGCCTCACAGAAGCTGCACTGAGACTAACCCCCAGGACCTGGCCCCATGGATGCCCAACTCCTATGATCAGCGGAGGCAACATATGAGGATTAATACCTTGACAGGTGGCGACCCAATCTCTGTGAACACAGAGGACCGTAGCTCCTCCTCTCCCCCCCCCTCTGCGACATCCAGGCCCACTGGCTCCAGCCCATAGCCCACTTACCACATTCCCTTGCTTCACACAGTAGCCACTCTTAATGAGGGGAGGCCCCGTGGAAGCTCGGCAGCTTGATGTGGGGATGTAACTCTGAGACCTTCGAAGGATAGCATGGGACCCTGGCTCATACCCCTCCTGCCCGTCTCCACCATTCTACAAGGGAACAGCATGAGAGTTAGTACCTCCTTCCACCCTTCATTCAGCCTCGGCTCCAGCTGCATTGGACCACTGGCCTCTTTGATAGTATGTCAGTCAAAATAAGAAATAAACATTGACTTTGTCTGGGTCAGGCACTCTACTTGGTATTTTCACAGTGTTAGATTCTGGGGTTTGGGTAGAAAGAGAATACAGGTCAGAAGATGGTCTAGGGGAAGGCAGGAGACTTTTTTCTAGCCACACTTCCTACATCAGTCCATTCCCCACAGATTTTGTTGTTGTTTTATTTTGCTTTGTTTTTGTGTTGGTACTAAAGCTTGAACTCATGGCCTGGGCACTAACCCTTAGCTTTTTTTTACTCAAGGCTTGTGCTCTACCACTTGAGTCACAGCTCTACCTTTGGCTTTTTGCTGGTTAGTTGGAGATAAGAGTCTTATGGACTTTCCTGCCCAGGCTGGCTTTGAACTTTGATCCTCTAATGTTAGCCTCCTGAGTAGCTAAGATTGAAAGGCATGAGATGCCAGTGCTCTGACTCCTAGGAAGAAAGAACCACAGGGACCACACAGCCTAAAGACACACTGGCCTCAACCTCTGCACTGCCATTCTCCCCTTTACCCCCCACCCCCACCCCGACACACACAATGGCCTCTGATGCACCAGCTCCCCGTCCACCTACTGTACTAACACTGGCAAACCACAGCCACTTCCATGCCCTCACTATTTCCCCACCTCAAGCAACCCCACTAGGCCCAGCACCTGGCTGATGGGGGTGTGGACCACCACCCCTCCGATGATCTCTGTCTTGTAGGCCACCTGTGGCTTCTTCTCTAGGGTGGGAGGAGCTGCTATACTTTTAAGAACTTCTGTAGTCAAGGGTAGGGTCCCAGCTTTGGGTACCTGGGAAGAATGACAGCATGGTCAGTAGGGAATAGAAGGCTCTGGAAAAGCAGAGACTCAAGCAGGATGGAAGTAGCACAGAAAACTAATGTATCAACTTACAGGAAGACTCGTCTCTTCCCCAAGCCCTTCCCTCAATCTATATCTAAGTCTAAGGAACTCAGTCAATAACCATTCAGACAACAACAACAACAACACCACACACACACACACACACACACACACACACACACAGGATTTACTCTCTATCAACTATAAGCCAGCATGTCATTGGATGGAAACCAGAGATTAATATCAAACAAAACAGACATGAGTCCTGTCTCACAGTGCTAACATGCTAATAGCTAAGACTCATAATAAAAAGCCTAACAAAACAATCAGAGTATTAAAGATGGTGGTGAGTGTCACAAGAGAATAGGTAGGAACTAAGGCAGAGGTCCACAGGGTAACTCCCAGAAATGGACAGTGAAAAGAAACTGGAAATGTAAAGCTGGGAAAGAACCTGCTGGGCAGGTGAAACAGGCCAAAATGCTTATAGGAGACCTGGGTTGCAGCTCAGCAGTGGGATGCTTGCCCAGCAGGTGGGAGGCCTTGGGTTACATCCCCAGCACCACAAATAAACAAAATTCATATGGTACAGGTAAAGCATGCCTTAATAATAATAATTCCCTAACTTAAGAAATAAAAAAAATTGATTTTGGGGGCTGGGAAGGTGGCTCAGTGGTAGAGTGCTTGCCTTGCATGCATGAGGCCCTGGGTTCGATTCCTCAGCACCACATAAGCAAAAAGAAAAAAAGCCAAAAGTGGCGCTGTGGCTCAGGTGGTAGAGCACTAGCCTTGAGCTGAAGAGCTGAGGGACAGTGCCCATGCACAGAGTTCAGGTCCCATAACCGGACTCCCCCCCACAAAAAAAAATTGATTTTGGCTTAGGATTTCAGAAGTTTCAGAATATAGTCACTTGAGTCTGTTGCTTCAAGCCTATGGTAAGAAGTGGCAAAGGAAGCCCTTAATCTCATGGAGGCTGAAGTGAAAGAAAAGTCAGACAAGAAGGGGCCAGGATCTCAATGTCCGTTACAATGATCTAATTAATCCTCCCATAGGCCCCAGCTCCTAATGATGCCACCACCTCCCAAGTGTGTCACAGTCTAGGATTAAGACTTCAACACATTGGCCAATGGAGACATTTCAAATGATCACACCTCAAGTGTAAAATGGAAAAGGGAACACATTTCTGTTGTAAGAGCTGTGGTTATCAAATGATAGTACACGGACCTTTAAACACTCTAGAAACAAAAGAATATCTGTGTAGCCAGCCCGCCTATAATCCTAGCTACTCATGAGGCTGAGATCTAATGATCATAGCTTGAAGACAGCCCAGGCAGAAAAGTCCATGAGACTCTTATCTCCAGTTAACCACAAAGAGCCAGAGTGGAGTTGTGGCTCCACTTTGCTAGTCTTGAGCAAAAAAAGTGAAGGGATAGCACGTAGGCCCTGAGTTCAAGCCCCAGTACTGGCTTAAAAATAAAACATCTTATGTATTGCAAATTATGTTAATTAACATTTCACAAGTGGTACTACTGTTTCTAGAAAAGCCCTATCTGTTTGAAGAATGAACTACCTGTGTCCCCATGTTGGCAGTTCTACAGCTAAGCAACAGAGAATTTTTATAATCAGTTGAAAACCACGGGCCAGAGGTCTCCAGCTGGTAGCCCACAGACAAATAAAGCTCTCGGTTTTACTTGTCCTACGTAATGTGCTCTTCAAGTAACATTTAAGGTTTTTAGCTAAGCAGCAGTCCCCTCATTACATGGAAAATGCAGCCTTCAGTTTGCCACAGTCTCCATCATTGTTCTATTACCCTCATATGTATTGCCAAATTCTTCACCCTTGCCCCTTCATTTATATTAAAGCCTGGAACTGGTGAAATCTGGCATTTTTTTCTTCAAAGAAAAAAGAGGCCCAACAGTTTGTCAGTCATTTGCCTAAAGCCATGATTAATAACTGAGCAGATCAGACTAACTCCCAGCCAGTTCAAAAGAGCACACTTTCTTTTTCCAGTGTCTGAAGAAATGAACCATAGATCACATCAGAAAGGCTGAAGTCCCAGGACTCAGACAGATCCTTTCAAGAGCTGAGAGCTCTTAACATCAAGAGACTGAGGCAGGTGGGTCAAGAGTCCTAGGCCAGCCTAAACTACACAGCAGGACCTATTTCTCTACATTCTTTTTTCACCCTCCACCACCCACATAAAAGAACTCTGCCATCAACAGGGAATAAAGCTTACACCATTTAGTGTCCCCTGTGTGCAAAGTATGAAGGATCCTGTGACTTAACTTAGGCCCTCAGAAAGGAAATATGATCCTTCCTCCTTAGGACTTATGTATTTGGTGTGTGAATGTTTGTGTGTTATGTGTATATGTGTGCTGTGTGGAGGGTTGTGTGGGAGGAGATGACCTCTGCCACCACTTCTGCAAACCACCCTCTCGATTCCTCCTGACAGTCTGAAGAATGCAGCTCTTACCATTCTTTGGGTCCCTATCCAGTGACAGGCACCTCATTACGTCTAACCTTCAAGTCACTTCATTAAGTAGGCATGGTATTCTCCATCTTTTTTTTTGGGGGGGGGTCCGATTGTGGGCCTGAACTCTGGGCCTGGGTGCTGTCCTTCAGCTCTTCAGCTCAAGGCTAGCGCTCTACCACTTGAGCCATAGCGCCACTTCCAGCTTTTTTCTTTTTGCTTATGTGGTGCTGAGGAATCGAACCCAGGGCCTCGTGCATGCAAGGCAAGTGCTCTACCACTGAGCCACCTTCCCAGCCTGGTATTCTCCATCTTATAGATAAGGTCAACTCAAACCATTAAATTGAGAATTTGCCACAGACCGCCTGATTCTTCCCTTACTAACCTATTGAGCCACCCCCTTTTTTGTTAATTTTCTATGTCGGATTTGTGCAAGACCTAATTTTGGGGAATGTTGATTTTCTTCTGGGTGGGCAGTGAAATCATCACAAGAGAATGGTAAAATTTCCCCCGAATTACCCAAATGAATTCCTGGAACCCAGCAGGGAAGAGGGAAGTAGTCTTTAGGAGTTTCCAGTCACCAGAAAAGAACTCACAGGAGCCTAGCTTTGCTTCCTCTCAGAATCCTGTCAGCACATACAGAGGCCAGTGGTTGTCACTGCTCTATGTCCCTGTATGTTGCTTCGCTTCTGTCAATTTACATCGATCTTTCAAAACTGTTCTATTTCTTTAGCTGCGAAGACAGGCTGTACAAAACAGCCTCAGACACAAATAGACTACACAGCTTGAAGAAGTATACTTTTGGTTCTTCCTATCCAGAGATCTAACTAAAAGCTTAACCCTTGCCAGGAGCAATGGCTCATGCTTGTAATCCTAAACTCAGGAGGTTGAGATCTGAAGATCTTACTTCGAAGCCAGCTTGAGCAGGAAAATGTGTGAGACTCTTATCTCCAACTAACCAACAAAAAACTGAAAGAGGATGGTGGCTCCAATAGTAGAGTGCCAGCCTTAGGTGAAAAAGTTGAGGGACAGCACGCAAGTCCTGAGTTCAAGCCCCAGTATACACACACACACACACACACACAGAGAGAGAGAGAGAGAGAGAGAGAGAGAGAAATGTAGTGAGTTAAATAAAACTGTCCACCCCTAAGCTCAAAGTGTGGTCTTGTTTGTAATTAAATTAAGGTCAGACTGTTTTAGGATAAACCCTATATCTAATGACCATTGTCCTTCTAAGAATATGTGAGGATGACAGAACACAGTCACACAGGGCAGAATTGTAGATGCAGGAAGAGGCAGGCATGGAGTGATGCAGCTACAAGTTGAAAAGTTTGATGCTGGAAGACACCAAAAGCTAGTGGAGGCAAGGAAGAATCCTCTCTGAGAGGGTCCTTGGGAAGAAAGAAAGCCATACTGATCCCTGACATCAGACTAGCCTTCAGAGTTGTGAGAAAATACATTTCCATTGGTTTAAGCTGGCTCTAGAAAACTCACAAAGAAATAGTAACATTTGAATGGGGCACTAATCCTATAACATTTGAATGGGGCACTAATGCCTATAATCCTAGCTACTCAGGAGGCTAAGATCTGAAGATCGAGGTTCAAAGCTAGCTCAGACAGGAAAGTCCATGAGACTTTTATCTCCAATTAAGCACCAAAAAGCCAGAGCTGTGGTTCAAGTGGTAGAGTTCTAGTCTTGAGTGAAAAAGGTAATGAACAGCACGTAGGCCTTGGGTTCAAGCCGCAGTACTAGCACAAAAAAAAAAAAATACAAAGAAATATTGCATTCTGAGAGGACTCAGCTCTAAGTACCACAACAAACAATGTTCAGTCACAGGGACTCAGTGAACAGCAATTTGTGGACCAAAACTTAAACCCACCTGGCTCCATAACCTTGGGAAAATACTTTAACCCCAGACATTTCCATCTTCTCACTTGCAAATGGAGGTAATAATACTTACTCTTCTTACATATGATTTTTAGGAGGCTCAAATAAAGCTATATACATAAAGTGCTGGATAATTAAACATATTTTACAATTGTTGTCGTTTTATATTTGTTTTAGCACTTCACAAATTTGTGTGTCCTCCTTGAGCAGGGCCATGCTAATCTCTGCATCATTCCAATTTTAATATGTGTTGCTAAAGCAAGCACTTGTTGCTTATTTTTAAAATTTTCATCACATACAATTTCTTGAGCCTTGAAGGCATGGGAATTGGATTAGAATCAAACTCTAATCAAACTCTTACTAGTTACTGTCCTCTTGCCCTAATTAACTCACTAGCCGCCATGTTTGTCATCTGTGAAATGGCAGTAAGACCACCAGCCCCACAGGGGTGCTATGAAGGGTGAGTGAAACAGCACATGCAGCCATGGGGATTTGCTCACTATATTTTCTGCTCCCCCTTTTATCTCCATGTACCCCAAAGTGCCAGATGCCTTACTTTGCATATATTGTGTCTTAAAATAAATATGTAACTATACCCACTATATCCAAAGAAATTCAAGTCTGCACAGTACAGATAGCTGCACACTCTTCTCACCAAGCTATGGAATCAGCTTAGGTGTCCATCAACCAATGAGTGGATAAAGAAAATGTGATACACATATACACACATGCACGCGCACGCACACGCGTGCGCGCGCACACACACACACACACACACACTGGAGTATTATTTGACCATAAAGGAGAACATAATTATATTTATTATCTGAAGGAAAATAAAGAGCAGGAAATCTGGGGCTTGAACTCAAGGTCTGAACCCTGTCCCTGAGCTTCTATTGCTCAAGGCTAGCACTCTACCACTTGAGCCACACCATTTCCAGCTTTTTCTGCTTATGTGGTACTAAGGAATCTAACTCGGGGCTTCATGAATGCCAGACAAGCACCCTACCACTAAGCCACATTCCCAGCCCTGAAAATCACCATAAATTAAATAATCTAAGACTGAGAAAAGTATTTTCTCTCAAATATGAACTCTAGACATGAAAAAAGAATGACAGGTGTAAATAGGGGAGGGCACTATGAAGGGTGAGAGGGCCAAGGGCGTGAATGTCATCAAAGAACTTCACACACATGTATGAAGGTAGAATAATAACATGCATTGAAATTGTTTGGAAAGGGACGAGAAAGGAGATAAGAATGAGTAATAGAAGTGGTAAATTTGATGCAAGTACATTATATCATTATGTATGTACAGAAATACATGCAAATAATGAAACATGCATATAATGAAATAACAAGGCTCCTTTGTACAATTAAAAATAAAATAAATATGCACAGTTTATCATGTGGTATCACAGCCCTACGTCTACCCAATTACATAAGGAAGGGTTTCTGTGTTTTATTTATTTATTTATTTATTTATTTATTGCTAGTCCCAGGGCTTGAACTCTGGGCCTGGGCACTGTCCCTCAGCTTTTGTGCTCAAGGCAAGTGCTCTAGCACTTGAGCCACAGTGCCACTTCTGGCTCTGACTGCTTCAAACCACTATCCTTAGATCTCAGATTACTGAGTAGCTGGGATTACTGGCTTGAACCACTGGTGCCTGGCTCTTTCTGTATTTCCAAAGGAAGAGGAAAATAATTGCTCATTAGCCAAGCTAAGGAAAATGAGAGGACTCAAAACAGTCCATGAACTAATTTAATAATTACTGAAGCTTTTAAATAAAAGGCTTTTATAGAACAGATTAAGAGGAGTCTATCCACAAGCAGGAAAAAAGTTCTAACTTCCTCTCTCATATGCTTTTCCCCTTCCACTACTTTTCCTAGTCAGCAATCCATTTTCCAGTCTCAGTCAGCACTCCAGAACCAGCCAGACCATGACTGACCAGGAGCCCACCCAGGAAATGGAAAGGGGATGCTCCCCAAACTTCCCTTTGAACTTGATTCAGACTCAAATTCTTGGGTAAATTGTGGTTAACTAAAGGACAAAGAGGAGCTGGGTCTGGATGAGGCTTCTGGAAAAATGCTGACTGCCATCTCACTATCCCCCAGCCCATGCAGGGTCCACAGGGAAGGGATGCTTTTGCCACCAAAAAGGAGAAGAGGAAGTAGAGTTGTGGCTCAAGCGGTAGAGTGCCAGCCTTGAGCTAAAAGAGTGTGCAAGACCCTGAGTTCAAGCCCCAGTGCTGGCACAAAAAGAACAAAGAAAAGAGAAAAGACCATACGTACAGTGATCTTGCTGGCTTGGTTCAGAGCTTCAACCCAATCCTTCAGATCTTTCTGGTCATTGGCTTGAAGAAAGTATCTCTGAGACAGGGCATTTATAACTGTAAAAGACAAAGGGAAGGTAGGAGAAATTCCAAGGTCGAAACATAGGCAGCACAACACAGTAAGACCACAAAGCTGTGTCTGAGGGAAAGGACTAACAAAACACAGCAGCAGACCAAGCAGAGATTCCTCATGCAGGTAAGTCCCTTTCATATTTAGGAAGCAGCAGGTCTCCACTGCCCGCTCTTTCTGGCATCTCTAGAAGTAGAAATCATTTTCACAGACCACAAGAATGACAGGATATAAACAGTCTAACATGCTGCTGCTCTGTAGAGGTGAGGCTGCCATTAAGATGACACCTCATGAACTGCATGATCATGGTGCTAATAAATTCATAGTCACGATGAAATGGATATCATTTTGGACCCAGTGCTCTGTTTCTACTGGCACAACTGGATGAGAAGCCTTGTCTATTTCTGAGAAATGCAACAATGCCTGAGATCAGATCTGACTCTGATCTCATTTTCAACCCATTCTTTCCTCTGAGCATTCTACTAGTCAACAGTTTAGTTCTGGGTTTATTATTAATATTGTTTTCTTTCAGATCTGCTGACAACAAAAGTCTTGTTGTTGTTGTTGTTGTTTGTCGATCGTGGAGCCTGAACTCTGAGTCTGGGCACTGTCCCTCAGCTCTTAAGCTCAAGGCTAAAGCTCTACCACTTGAGCCACATTGCCACTTCTGGCTTTTTCTGCTTATGTGGTGCTGAGGAATCGAACCCAGGGCCTCATGCATGCAAGACAAGCACTCTACCACTGAGCCACCTTCCCAGCCCTGACAACAAAATTCTAAGAGTCATTTGCAATATTTGAGGGCAACAGGAAAATGAATAAATTTGAAGTTAGGGGGCAAGGACAATTCTGGGGACCCGAACTACAGAAACAGAATTCAATATTCACTTATTCATTCAAAAAGTATTTACTGAAAACCCACTATGCCCCAGCACTGAGGACAAGTGACAGAGCAGGGGATGTCTCTGCTTTCCTCATGCTTACAGTTGGAGCCACCCTGGACACCCAGACACACCTGCTAGCACCATACACAGCTCTGGAGAAACGTATGGGGCCAAATAACAACTCAGTGACTGAGTCACTGAATTCACTGAATTCAATGGCTCGAAGCAGTCACTGGATGGCTTTGCTTCAAACATCACCCTGGCACTATTACTCATTTGGTGATACTAGGACCCTAAGAGAATACTCCTTCCTTCCTGTTATCTACTTCCTGGCCCTGCCTCTTCCTTCTCTCTAGTGTTCACCTTTCCTGAGCACACCATGATTCAGCACAAAAGTGGGGGTTCCCAGAAACTTTCCTTTTTTTTCTTTTTCCTTTTTTGGTGATACTACTGGTACTTGAACTCTGAGACTCACACTTGCTAGGGTGGTGCTCTACTGCTTGAGCCAAGCCCCAGCCCCAGGTATGTTCTGAAACAATGGCACCTTGTGGCTCTCATCAATCTCTGCAGCAATTCCTAGGAGAGCGGGATCACTTGACACTCAGGAACCTACTGTGACTTAAACCACTCATATGCACATGCAATCACATGGCAGTCCACACACACACACACACACACACACACACACAAGAGGAAGTTGCTACAAGAGTAGAAAGGCCATCCCCAGCTCAGTACTTACCAAAGCAAAATGGAGTTTTTGGTTTCTGCTTTGGGGTTGCTATGCTCACCTACACCAAATTTAAAAAACAAAGAGGGGTGAGGGAAAATATTTTGTTGTTCAATTTTTCATACATAAGGGAGAACCTATCAAACATGTGGCCCTTTCAAAGAAAAACAAAGAGCACTGCACTTATTAAGAGATTTCTGCATGTGCTTCCCTGACAAGAGATACCTACTATCTTTTACTATCTTTTTTTTTTACTTTTTTTTTTTTTGGTCAGTGGTAGGGCTTGAACTCTGGGCCTGGGTACTGTCCCTCAGTTCTTCAGCTCAAGGCTAGTGCTTTACCACTTGAGCCACTTCCAGTTTTCTGGTGGTTTACCAGAGATGAGTCTCATGAAATTTCCTGCCTGGGCTAGCTTTGAACTGTAATCCTTAGATGTCAGCCTCTTTAGTAGCTAGGATAACAGGCGTGAGCCACTAGTGCCTGCCCCCCCTTTTTGTTTTACATTTTTAAACTTATTTTTATTGTAAAGGTGATATAGAAAGGGGTTACAGTTACATAAGTCAGGTCATGAGTACATTTCTTTTTGGACAATCTCACCTCTTCCTTCATTTTCTCCCAGTTTTTCTCCTCCCAACCCCCATCCCCATAAGTTGTATAGTTAATTTCAACATAGTGTCTAGTAAATATCAATGTTGCATTTCTTCATCCTTGGTCCCACCATTTCCATGTTCCCCCTTGTCCTCCCCAATACAGATAAACTTATATACAAGACAAAAAGTACAGAAATCAAAAACAGTGACAAAGGGAAAAAAAGAACAAAAAAAAGTAAAATAACTTTAAAAAACCTCATTTCTAGTTCTTGAGTTCATGTCAATAAACATCATTTCAGAAAGAATGATAAAGAAAGGACAAGCCTTGGAAAAAATTATATTAAGTGAAATAAGCCAGACACAAAGGAACATAGCATGGTTTTCCTCATTTGTAGTAATTCAAATGTGCCTATAAATCTACAAGTAAACACAGTGGATGGACATAAGTTAAACAGAACTCTAAACACTCACACAGAGAAACCAAAGGAGGTGTTCTTAGGAGAGGATCACAAGGGCTCAATAGCTATGTGCATATTATCATATAAAATGATGCTTATTGAAATGAGCTCCAAGAAATGATAACTATTATGTGATTTCTATTAATTTCTGTCCTTGTAAAAAACTCTGTGTGTGTGTGTGTGTGTGTGTGTGTGTGTGTGTGTGTGTGGTGTGTACACTTGCATGCCATTCTGAGGCTTCAACTCAGTGCCTCAGTACCCTTGCTTGGTTTTTTGCTCAATGCTGAGGCTGTACCACTTAAGCCACACTTTCATTTCTATAGATAAGAATCCCATGGACTTTTCTGCCTATGCTGGCTTTGAACCTCAATCCTGAGATCTCAGCCTCCTATACTATTAAAAATATTTTTTAAAAAAATTTATTTTTAAGCTATGTGTTGGTGGCTCACACCTGTAATCCTAGCTACTCAGGAGGCTGAGACCTGAAGATCATGGTCTAAAGCCAGCTCAGACAGGAAAATCCTTGAGACTTGTCTCCAATTACCCACAAAAAGCTGGAAGTGGAGCCATGGCCCAAGTTGTAGTGTGCTAGCTTTGAGCACAAAGCTCAGGGACAGCTCTAAAACCCAGAGTTCATGCTCTAGGACCAGCCAAAAAACAAACAAACAAAAACTTTTTTTCATTAAACATATTATACAATGAAGGTTTCATTGTGACATTTCCACACCTGTAGACACATATTCCAATCAAAGTCACCCCGTTTACACCTCTATCACTCTCCCTTACCTTATGTTCTCTTCCTAAAAGTGTTTCAACAGGTTTTATTGATCTGTTTTCATACATGTAATAAACCACTTTGACCATCTTCATCCCCATTTATCCCCTTATTCCCACTGGTACCCACCCCAAGATTTTCTTTGGCTCATAAGACGTGGCTGGGTCCCACTCACACTAGCAGGATTCCATCCATTCCTCTTTCAATGTCACTGCCCACCCTTAACTGCTCCAAACTGAAGGTGTCCTGCTACAACTGCAGATTCCAATCAGAGCACTTGGAAAGAGTAAGCAAAAGGCCCAAGGTACATTTAATTAGATACACTGACCCGTCATCTTGATTCCTACCCAGCCATGAAAATCAACATTTCCTCGAACCTCAAAGGACCAAGAATCAGAGCCAACCTAGGCACTTAAAAAAAAGCATAGGAAGGTAGCAGTATTTCATACTTCCTGCTGCTTTATTTCATGTTGCTCTTGCAATCCTACTGCTTGCATATTCATTTTTGAGTTATCTGCACCCCTGCGCCCACATTGCTTATATTTAAACAACTCATATTCCACTATCCTCGACACTGGTTGGGCTTCTTTGGAGCAGGATTCAATCTGGGCCTTCCCATGGAACCGCGCCACCTGCTGTCACTGTTCTACCCTGGATGGATGTTTCCCTCAACCTCCTTCCCCCACAAGGCTTCATCTTGTTACACGCCCCCCTCCCCCCTTTGGGGCTTTGCCAGAGCATCCTGCTGTTAACAATCAGCAAATTAGAAATCTTGAGTCTCTTCACAGCTCACAATTGCTACAGTGTCATTCTGATTGACCCATAGATCTCTCTAGGTTCTTCTTCCTTCCTACTGTCCAGAAGTCCTTCTTATAGTCTTTTGTTAGTCAGAATTAATATTGCCCAAAGGAACTGAGGTGGCTTATACCCACAAAAAAACAAGGTTTGAATCCCAGTACAGCACATATACAAAATAAAGATTGGGCACTGGTGATCACACTGGTAATCCTACCCACTCAGGAAGCAGAGATCTGAGGATCATGGCTCCTAGCCTGCCTGGGCAGACAAATCCAGGAGATGCTTATCTCCAATTAACCAACAAAAATCTGGAAGTGGAGGTGTAGCCCAAGTGGTAGAACAATAGCTTTGCGCAAAAAAAAAAATAAGCAAAAGCATGAAGTCCTGAGTTCAAGCCCCAGTACTCACACACACACACACACACACACACACACACACACACACACACACACACGAACAAAAAGGCAGGTGGGACACCTGAGCTTTTGAGACAGACTTGTCTTTGCTGTGTGACCTCTATTCAGTGTTCTGTCAAATAAGGGATGATAATATCATGTTCTCTTGGGGTTCACATGAAGAGTAAGCACAGAATCTGTTTATTCAAGAAGGGACTATTTATAGCTCTTGACATCTCATTTCCTTTAAAAACCCACTGCACACATGAATACTACAGCAATACTTCACCCAGAACTATAGGCAACCTGCTGAGAACCCAGGAGCAAAAACATACAGGGCCTCAAACAAGTACCCACCATACAAAGTAAAGATGGCAGACTCAACATTGGAAAACATTTAATGAAATGTCTGCATCACATTCCATGAGACTCTGTGAACAAATATTGAACTAAATACTTAAGATGTCATAACATTAAGTCAGTGTCACTCATTTTTCAAGTAAGGATGCAAAACATTTTCATAACATTTGAAAATAACTTGCAGCTGGAGTTGTCTTAGTTCACCAGGATTCTTATGCATGTGACAAGATGACTGCCTGAAGACCACAGCCAATCATAAATGAGATGTTATTGCCAAACTGTCCCAAGTAAAAATGCATGCTTTCAATTATTCTAGAGCTCAACTGGTGTGTGTGTGTGTGTGTGTGTGTGTGTGTGTGTGTGTGTGTGTGTGTGTTTGACTACTGGTTCTGTAGGTGCACATTGAGAGACCACATTTGCTGATAGCTATCTTAATAGCAGAGTCCCAAGGTAGCACAGAGAATCAATGGCCAGAGTCAGGAAGAGTACAGTGTGTCCTGCTTAATGAGGGAGATGGGTGTCTTTTACTGTTTACGATGATATGAAATGGAGGCCAGAGGACCTTCTGGAAAATATGAACATTTAAGCAGAGAAGCCCACATGGCCTAAGTTCAGGAATTCAGCCAGGTCTACACAACTCATAAGCAACATACAGGATGCTGACACCCATAAAAGTCTCAGTCCTGGCCCCGTGCCACCTGGCTTTCCTGGGCTCCAGTCTGACCCACAGTGGCTGCCTTTACCCTGCTGGCGTCTGACAGGCTGATCTGCACTGACTCGTCTCCTGGCTGTCCTTCAACATCCTCTTGTTCATCGTGATGTCCTCAATGTCACAGAGCTGTCTTGGCCATCCTGAACCTCAGCACACACCTCATGGCTTCCTTCCTATCCAGACTTAGAATGGCACTGAGAAAGGTGAGCACTGGGGGGCTTCTCTGGCTTTCTTTGAGAATCGCCCTCTCTCCAAGCTCACTTACTACAGACTAGGGAGTATGCCACAGGCTTACCATTCCCCCTGCTTGCATTACAAAGTGTCTGCTATGACCACTGCTTATTAGCCAGCCTATGACATAAGGATACTACCCAGGTGCTTATTAGGGGAGCCAAAGCTTCCAAAGAGAGTGTAGCTTTTGCTTTTTTTTTTTTTCTGGTTTCTGCTTATGGATTTTTAGTCAGGAGGTCTATGTAATCACATAAAGACAAATCAGCTCATTGATGAGCTTATGAGATCCATTCTAGCTCTGCCTTCACTGTCTGTGTGGTAAAGGTAGAGATCTTCACCTTCTCTGAGGAAAGCCAGAGGCAAATGTAAGTCCCCTTCATAACAGTTCACAGAACAGCAAGAGAGAAAATGTAAGTCTATCTACCAGTTGTGGGGTACAACCCCACAGAGAGAAGGGCTGAGATTCTCACCTAATAGGGAGCTACGGCTTTGGCCTCTTCCTGCACCTTGCCCACCATAAAGTATGGTCCTCCTCCACCCCTGCCTCCACTGCCTGCTGGTGACCATGCCAGGCTGTTGCTGCCCTCTAGACAAGGGGAAGAACAGAGAAGTCACAGGAAGCAGTGTGGCTGCAGAGTGCAAGGCCGCCAGATGGGCTGATTCAAATGAGAGCAAATATTCACCCACCTCAAAGTGGCCACAGGTGAGTCACTGCCCAGTAGTTGAGAAGTAACAGTGAATGCACTAACAGTGAGAGAAGGCAGAGGAAGTAAAGAGGGGACTGGACATGTCACCATCAAATGACGCAGGAAGGGCTGCTCCACACATAACAGTCTCAGGAACTTGCTCTTATCAGATCAGACAGAGACCACAGAAGGTACAAACTTGTCAGCAGAAGGGCACTGCTAGGGCCAGCCCCACCCTGTCTGCCCTGGGCCAAAGTAGAGCTAGGGCTCCTCTGACAAAAGCAGCAGCAACCAAACAAAGTCTGGGCCTTGCCCCTCAAGGGGACATCAGGAGCAAGGGGGAAAAGCAGCGGCCATGCAGAATGACTGCAATGGCTCCAAGTTGAAGTCTGTGGATCAGCCTCAGCTCATACACACATATACACATTTACCTGGAAAGTACACCCACACTTTCCATTGACTCTCAAAAGAATCCACAACACCTCCTTTCCCCCGACTCCCCATCCCCCCCAAAAAAAGTTAAAAACCAGTGTTTTGTGGAGGCCTCCTAATGAAAGCAACTGCCAAACCTTCACAGATGGGACCAAACTGGGGGTGGGCCAGTGGAGTCTTCTGCCCAAAGAAGGCAGGCAAAGAGGGGAACATGGCCAGATAGAAGGCAGGTGGTGCCCAAGCCAGCTTCATTTATTTTCTAGTTTTCTAGTTGTCCTGTTGACATGCCCCGGAGAGCAGCAACTCAGGGCTTTCATGTGTGGTTGGTGTGTCTGAAGGACCCTGAACCAACCTCATTCTAACCATCATTTAACAGTCTTACTGAGGCTGTCCTCCTAGGACAAGGAGCTAAGAGTTAACAAAAATCAACCCGGAATGGCTAGCCAGACAGGAGTACCATGGAAAATGACTGGGGTGGGGGGGGAGAGGGGGAAATCATGCTCCCTGGCCTTGCCCCAGGCAGAGTTAATAGCTGTCACCTCTTTGTAACCTGACCCAGTGGCAGCTGTGGGTTTTGTAAAAGGCCCAGACCTGTCTCTTAGGCAGTGCTGCTGAAAGTCAGACCATCTTCTTTAAAAGAGACAGACTCCAAGTCAAAGAGTGATAAAACTCTCATCTGGGCTACTGATTCTCTCCCTCTCTGTGTCTCTCTGTCTCTCTCTTCCTTTCTCCCCCTCTTCTCTCTCGTCTCTCCCTCCCTGTCTCCTTCCCTTTCTCTTTTCTCTCCCCCTTCTCTCTCCCTCTTGTCTTTTTCCCTCTTTCCCTCTCTTCTCTCTTTCTCTCTGTCTCTTTCCCCCCCTCTCTTCTCTCTGCTTCCCTCCTCCCCCTCACACACACACATCTTTCTACACCATCTCAAACCAGAGAGAGGGTTTCAGTTTTCTTTCTTTTTTTTTTTTAAGCAAGGCTTTCCGTTCCCCTTCTTCTCAATTCTCTTCCTGGAGAAATGACCTAATGAGGTCACTGAGATGAGGACAAGAGAGGAGGGAGGGCAGGCCCAGGCCTGGCTGGCCGGCCTTGGAGAGGCAGCCACATTTCTTCCCACAAGGCAGACACAAATTGCCTGCAGCTGTGTTAGCAAAGCTTCACTTTGAAAGGCCCTACCCCTTCCCCTGAGGACATTATCTCCTGCCTCTAATCTGCTCCCAGGCTGCTTGGCATCTTTGGCCTGGGCGCTGGCTCTATCTGCCAGGCTCTGCAGGCAGCCCAAAGGCACAGGGTCAGCCTGCCCCTCCAGCTAAAGATGGCCATTCTTCCCAGGCCAGGCCCCTCCACACCTCGCTCCTGAGTGGCAATGGAGGGTTAGCTAAGTAATCCCAGGGCTTTTTATCAGATTGGTGGTCACTTAGCTCAGGAGCCCCCTACCCAGGTCCCAAGGCCTAGAGGGTGGAAGAGACTGGCTAAGGAAGCAGCAGCTTTCAGGAGGGACTTCTGTAGCCTCAGAACTGGCGGGGTGCCACCTGGCTCTCCTCACTGTACAGAGAGTTCCTCAGTCTAGGGAGGCTCTAATTCCTCCCCCATCCCCAGTGCCTTTTTCTTTAAAAACAAAACAAAATAAAACAAAAAAAAAACACTCTATATCACGGGTCAGCAGCAGTGCGGGCCTCAGGGAGGGGCTGCTCAAAGCAGCTGAGCTCAGCAATTGCATATGGACCTCATCAACCAGCCCCACCCCCAGGTCTCAGCAGGGCAGGGGCTGCTCCTCAGTGATGAAAACTACTTTAGAGCCATGGTCAGCCAACTCCTTTTTTCCTAATTTAAACTTTATTGTCAAAGTGATATACAGAGGGGTTACAGTTTACACAAGTAAGGTAATAAGTACATTTCTTCTTGAAGTATTACCTCCTCCTTCATCTCCTTCCACTACCTCTCACTCACCTCCTCCCACCCCAAAAGTTGTATAGTTCAATTTCCAACAGGGTCCAGTGAGTATCATTGTTGAATTGATTCACCCTTTGTCTCACCCTTTCTTTGATTCTCCCCTTCCCTTCCCTAAATCAGATAAACATATACAAAACAAAGGGTACAGAAATCAAAAACAGAGACAACAGAAAGAAACCAAAGGGAAAGAAAAAAAGAAACAACTGCAACTAGTAGAATAAAGAAAAGTCTTTTGTTTCTATTTCTTGTAGTTGATTTTGATAAGCATCATATATGGTCATATGAACATAGTTATTGAGCCACTGTGATCCTCTCCTAAGAATATCCTCTGCTTCAGCCAATTCTTGTTCTACCCCTACCCCTTTGGCCATAGCCTGATTGCAAAATGTGGTCATGGCCCATCTGAGTACCTTTTAGGCATTTTTAGCCTACCTTGTATAGGCATCCTGTCCAGGGGATGGAAACAATTCCAGCCAAGCCTAGTTCTTTCAGATCTGCTACTGTTTACACTGTATGCTTCCTTGTTACTGGACTTGGGCCTTTAAGATATGTGTGTGTGTGTGTGTGTGTGTGTGTGTGTGTGTGTGTGTGTGTACACATGCACTTTAACCCAAGGCTTGGGTGCTAGCCTTTAGCTTTTTTGCTCTAGGCTAGCCTCTACTATTTGAATCACACTGATGTGTGATGGCTTTTTGTGGGTTAACCGTAGATAAGACTCTTATCAACTTTCCTGCCTGGGCTGTTTTTGAACCTCAATCCTCAGATCTCAGCCTCCTAAATTGCTAGGATTACTAGTATGATCCATTTGTGCTTAGTCTTTATGATCCTTTCATGTCCCAAAATGTCATGTCCTGCCCCTAACTCAAGCTCAGTTACCACCTACAGCCCCTTTGTGGAGGCAGAAACTTTGTGGACTACTAGAATGTTTTCCAAAGGCCCCTGTGTTAACGTTTGGCCCTAGCTTGGAGCTACTGGGAGGATGGTGGAATCTTTAGGTGTTGAGAGCCTAACAGAGGTCTCTATGTGATAGACGGTTACCCTCAGAGAGGTTTGTGGGCCCCAATCTCTGTTTTCCTTAATCTAAGACCATTAGGTAAGAAATTTTGTTCTCCTGTATCCCTGATGTACGGCCTGCCTCAGGCCCCAAAGCTCAAGGCCAATCAATCATAACGAAAAATTCCAAAACTGTGAGCCAAAATAAACCTTGTCTCTATAAAGTCAGTTATATTAGGTATTTTTATTATAGGGATGGAAAGCTGACTAACTGGCCTGTTCAAGAAGAAAGAGGCTGAGGGCCCTCTCTCCAGGAACCTGAACCACCACACTCCCTTAGTCAGCAGCAAACTTTCCATAAACAATAGGCTGGGAAAGGGAGCATTTTAGGCCTGCACAGGTAGCTCATGCCTATCATCCTAGCAACTCAGGAGGCTGAGATCTGAGGATGGAAGTTCAAAGCCAGTCTAACCAGGAGAGTCTTATCTCCAATTAACCAGTAAAAAGCCAAGTGTGTGGCTCCACTGGTAGGACACCAGCCTTAAGGAAAAGGCTGAAGAGGGCTGGGAAGGTGGCTCAGTGGTAGAGCACTTGCCTTGCATGCCTGAGGCCCTGGGTTCAATTCCTCAGCACCACATAAGCAAAAAGAAGTGGTGCGGTGGCTCAAGTGGTAGAGTGCTAGCCTTGAGCTGAAGAGCTGAGGGACAGCGCCCAGGCCCAGAGTTCAGGCCCCACGACCAGACTCAAAAAAAAGGAAAAGGCTGAAGGACAGCACTCAGGCCCTGAGTTCAAGCCCACTACTGGCACACAAAAAACAAACAAACAAACAAAAAGCACAGAGGAGCATTTTAATGCCATAAATATCCCCAAATTCTAGCCACTCAAGAATGTGCCATTTCCTCTTCTTTAGATGCTAAATCTACTTAGAGAATGTGAATTTTCCAGAACTCCAAACCAGCATTACCTTCGAGATGTAGGTCAGCTGCAAAGATCCAACAGCTCCTGCTCCAACAGCCAGGTTCTGAAAGACAGATATTGTTTGTTATAAGTGCACTGCATGAGGCAGGAAAAACAACACTAAGTCAGAAGGCCAACTGCAGTCTATATGCAGTCCCTTAAAACCATTCTTCCTGTAACTCCTGTTCCTCAGCTGCAAAACAGTGGTACCAATTCTTAGCTATCATGCCATAACAACTCCAATGACACTTCAGATTTCTTGATGGAAACCTGTAACATTATCAACATTACCCCTGGCCTTTCATACCACTCTAGGGCAGAGGTTACAAGTATGTGTTCCACCAGTTGTCTGTGAAGTCCCTTAACTACTTGACCTCAATTTTCCTATAATACAATTGAGTATTTCTAATCTGAAAACCTTGTGACCAGCTGTGTTTTGGATTTCAGATTTTAAAATGTTGCATTTTAATGAGAATTCCTAGAGATGAGACCATGCAAACATGTGTCATATTTGTATTACACATATAGCACGGAAGAAATTTTATGCGAGATATTTTTAGTGTACGGCATTTTGACTGCAATCCTGTCACATGAGCACAGGTGTGAAATTTCCCACTTGTCACATCACGTCACGATTGAAAAGGTTTTGTATTAAACCAGGTGTTGGTGGCTCACACCTGTAATCCAAGCTATTTGGGAGGCCAAGATTGGGAGGATTGACGTGCAAAGCCAGCCTAGTTAGAAAAGTTTTCAAGAACCTATCTCAATGAAGAGCCCAGATGGTGTCATGTACCTGTTATCCTAGCTATGCAGGAAGAAAGATCTAAACACAACTAGCAAAAATCAAGGCTGGAGGCATGACTCAGTGTTAACAGTGCCAGCCAAACAAGCATGAGAACCTAAGTTCAAACTCAGTACAGCCAGAATAAAAAGAATGTTTCAACCAACCCAGATGCCCCTCAGTAGATGAATGGACCAAGAAAATGTGGTTTATATACACAATGGAATTCTATGCCTCCATCAGAAAAAATGACATTGCCCCATTTGTTAGGAAATGCAAAGACTTGGAAAAAATTATATTAAGTGAAGTAAGCCAGGCCCAAAGAAACATAGGTCCCATGGTTTCCCTTATTTGCAATAACTAGTATATGTCTGAAACAAGCAGATAAGGTCAGATAAGTTGATGTTAGGCGAAATGAACCCCAAGATAAGGATTCAAATGCTTTTTCTTTCCTGCAATTGTTTCTAACATTTATAAGATGATTTCTTTGTTGCTTTGTATGTCCCGCCCCCACGGTATAACCCCTGCTTTCACTGTATTTGATGTTGTTATAATTTGTGGAGGGGAAGGGAAAAAACAAATCATTTAAATAGGGATACAGGTGAACCCATTGTAAAAATGAGATGTACAAGTCGTTATGTAGAAAACGAACTTTACAACTTTGGTGGGGGGTGAGGGGGAGGCAGATTGGGTGAGGGGAGAGCAGGGGGAGGGTGGGAAGGGATGGAAAGGGGAAACAAAGGAGGAGGCTACAATACTTGATAAGAAATGTACTCATGGGGCTGGGAAGGTGGCTCAGTGGTAGAGTGCTTGCCTTGCATGCATGAGGCCCTGGGTTCAATTCCTCAGCACCACATAAGCAAAAAGAACAGAAGTGGCGCTGTGGCTCAAGTGGTAGAGCGCTAGCCTTGAGCTGAAGAGCTGAGGGACAGCGCCCAGGCCCAGAGTTCAGGCCCCACAACTGGACCCAAAACTAAATTTAAAAAAAAAAATGTACTCATTACCTTGCCCATGTAATTGTAACCCCTCTGTACAGTATTTTCACAATTTAAAAAAAAGGAAGTTTCATATTTTGGAGCAGTTATGATTTCAAGTATTAGAGCGTCCCTGCTCTATTTTTTAATTCATCATAAGACAACTGTAGAATTAGATGATTTATACTTATTTCCAACTTTATAGTGATTCTTTGTTTTTTCTTTTAAAGGAAACTTAGACAGGATTAAGAGAGATGGGCTTTGTCATCCCCAAATCAGAGTCCCAAATGGAGCCACAAATCCCCAAATGTAAAGAGTGATTGATAAGAGCATTCCAGTAAAAACACTTCTTCGAAGAGTCCTATGCCAAGAGCAGACCCCCATCTGCAAGGCCTCATTGTGTCCCAGAGTCTAGGGATCCACAGAGCCATAGGGCTCTGCCCGCACCCTACATCACAGTCTAAGAAAGTATCTTGTGAATGGGGAGGTCAGACTCTTGGTGGCCACACCTGAAGTGAAGCTTAGGTTTCCTGATTTTCACACCAAAACCCTAAAAGAAGTATGGTGTAATTTAAAAAGCTTGAACTTCTGGAATTCTAGCAGTAACATTAGTGTTCTATGAGCAGGATATGTTTCTTCTCCTGTAGAGGTAATAAGCTATGTACAGTAGGTGGATAAAAGTACTACATAACACCATACAGGGAGAACCCAGTACACAGTGGCTTCTGTCTCCTCCACTAGGCTAATTACAAGAGTCAAGTGCCAAGGCTCAGAGGGCTTCTCCTGCACAACTATCCTCAAACCACAGCCCAAGACCTCCAGATCCCTCTCTTCAATTATGAGTAATAAACTGGGACTGGGGGTGACAGGACTCTAACCCAACCCACTGGATAATGACAGATAGCAGCTGATCAGATGTCAATGATGTCATTCTCACTCCCTCCCAACTTTCTCCCCTGTCCCTAGCCAGCTTTCCAAGCCCAGCTATCCCAGGGGAGATAATGGGTCCCCATCCTCTCATCCACACACCATCTATGTTAATCCTAGGCTCTGCTCAAGAGAAGCCAGTGGAAAATGGTTAATGTCTGAAATGCTATTTTCCCTCCTCCTTCCTCCCCATCCAGGATTCTTGAGGCTTGATCCAAACTGACACTCAGTGTCCACTCCAATTACTAGACCTAAAAGATTAATGATGAAAGTTCACTGCCAAGGTGGCACATGGGCAGCCCTAGGAAGATACTTCCTGATTAAGGAAGGATGTGCCAACACGCTTGAGCTGAGGGCTGGGTAGCCAGCCATCATGGTAGGAATGCTGGGGCCTAGCACCCCAAAAGACACAGGGTGTTGCAGCTGGAGAGGATGTTACTCAGGGCCACAGCTCTGCTTCTTCAGGCAAAGGACAACTCAGGGTTCTCCCACAAAACACTGCATCAAAATCAAGTAGAATATGATCAGAAGAAAGATAATATGTTTTTGACATACTCCCTAGTTCCTAGCATGGTGGCTCATGCCTGTAATCATAACTACTTGGGACAGAGACTGAAAGGATCCTGGTTTGAGACCAGCATGACAGAAAGTTCACAAGATTCCCATCACAATCAACAAAAACCCAGGCACAATGGTGTGTGCTTGTTATCCTAGCTACATGGAAAGCTTCAATAGGAGGATTGTGGTCCAGACCCTACTCAAAACAACTAAAGCAACTGGATGCCAGTAGCTCATACCTGTAATTCCAGCTACTCAGGAGACTGAGATCAGAATGATTACAGTTTGAGGCTAGTGTGGGCCCCAAATATTCACTATATTCCATCTCGAAAATAACCAGTAAAAAGAGGACTAGAAGCATGGCTCAATTGTAGAGTGCCAGCCTAGTAAGCAGCAAGACTCTGAGTTCAAACCCCAATACTACTAATAACAATAATAAGTAAGTAAGTAAATAAATAAATAAAACAAAAAGGACTGAGGGCATGGTTGGATCATTTTAGTGCCTGACTAGCATGTGCAAGGCACTGAATTCAAACCCAGGAATCACCAGAAGGAAAAAGAAAAGAAAAAAACATAGCTCCTTAGTGATCTCTATTCAGGTCTAAGTGTAAGAACTAATTCTTTATCCAATTCAGGCCTACATATAAGATCTGCTGATTGAAACAACAAAATTTAGCCCTGCATTATGAATTTATTAGATTGTAAATACACTGAAGGCAGAGCCCAGACATCAAGATGGGGACATTTGAGCCGATTCAGAATAGAGACAAAAACTGGGGGGAAGCCTAGTCATTCATTTATTCATGTTTATTATTTTATGTTAGTGCAGGGGATTGAACCCAGGTCCTCACACATGTTAGCCATGTATTTTACCACTGAGCTATAACCCAGGCTTTTTTTGTGTGTGCTAATACTAGAACTTGAACTCAGGGCCTCAAACTCTCATTCAGCTTTCTAGTACATGGCTAACACCCTATCACTTAAAACCACATCTCCAGCCCAGCTATTTGCTAATTAATTGGAGATGGAGACTCAAGAATTTTTCAACGTGGGTTGATTCTGATCCTCAATCCTCCAGGCCTCAGCCTTCTGAGTAGCTATTATTAGCTGGTAGCTAGTATTTCTTGTTCAAGTAGAAGATTTTACTCATGTGAACTTGACTGTCTTCTAGTGAGAATAAAAAAGAGCAGAGGTTGAGCACCACTGGTTCATGCCTGTCATCCTAGCTACTCAGGAGGCTGAGATCTGATGAATGTGATTCGAAGCCAACCTAAACAGGAAACTGTGAGGCATAGGCACCAGCACTCAGCATGGAGAGATTTATAACCAACAAATACCCAGGTTTCATCCCCAGAGCTGTAACTGATCTGCAGTAGGGCTTAGTCATCTGTGTGCGCTTAAAGGGTTTTCAGAGAATGCATAGTGCTGCCAGGCTGGGGCAGCCTGCTGCTGACATGTGCTGGGGTGCTGACTGGGTAGGGAGACAGCACATGGTGAGATAAAAAGCCCTATCCAGACTGCGGCCCAGAGTACCTCGCTGGCTACAGTACCAGCAGTGCTGAGGGAGAAAGAAGGGAAGAATGGGGTGGAGATGACACGGGGGAAGGGACCAGGTCTCCATGCTGTGTGCACAGCCCGCAGCCACTGCACAAGCACCAGGAGGTATGTAAGACAGCATGGCCTGTGCATTTCTCAGACTTCTAGCCATTCTAGAACAATGTAGGGCACAGGGCAGGTTCTTGTTAGCTGAGTTCTTTGAAAGGGCACTGTGAATGCCTTTTTTTTTTTTTTTTTTTGGTTGTGGGGCTTGAACTCTGGGCCTGAGTGCTGTCCCTCAGCTCTTCAGCTCAAGGCGAGCACTCTACCACTTGAGCTACTGCGCCACTTCCAGTTTTCTTGTGGTTTATTGGAGATAAGAGTCTCTCAGGTCTTTCCTGCCCGGGCTGGCTTTGAACTGTGATCCTCAGATCTCAGCCTCCTGAGTAGCTAGGATTACAGGCGTGAGCCACCAGTGCCCGGCTATGCCCTGATTTTTTGCTTAAGAGTTCTTCTGCTCTAAGGACCTCAAAAGAGTGGCAAGTATGTGGTTTACTCTCTTTCATCACCAATGAAGGGGCTGGGGCGTCCATGCAGATACTTTGTTGTGCCTCCTGCACAGTAAGCCTTTCCTACAAACTGCATATTTCTTGTTAAAGTAGAAACAAATTACCCATGTGACCTTGAATCCCTTATAGTGAGAATAAAAAAAGGCAAAGGCTGGGCTCCTTCCTGTCATCCTAGCTATTCAGGAGGTAAAGATCTGAGGAATGTGGCTAAAACCAGCCTAGGCAGGAAAGTCTATGAGACTACTCTCCAATAAAAACTACCCCCTCAAAAGCCAGAAGTGAGCTGTGGCTGAAGTGGTAGTGCTTGTCTTGAGCAAGAAAAGTTTGGGACAGCACCCAGGCCCTGAGTTCAAGCCCCAGGACCAGGACACACACACACACACACACACACACACACACACAAAAAGCACAAAAGTGGCCAGAGGTCCCAACTACAGATGCATGAGTGAGTTCACAGAACATCAGCCCTAACAAATTCCATGAACATTTCTTGGTCTACCACCTGACTAGAAGGCTCAACTGAGGGAAGTAACTTCCAGAAGAAGCCCAGAGAAGGTAAAGTTTTAAATGCCTAGCTTTGTCAGAGCACCACCTGAGAAAGATAGAAGGAAATAGGGATATAACTAGAGACTACTATGTACCTCCCTGGCTGCTAGATTCTTCCACATGTGTGGCTTGATACCAACAATCCCATGCCCCAGAAGAAGCTAGGGATCCAGCAGGTAAGGTCACTGTCCCACGATCACACAAAAGGCAAGCAGTCAAGCCAATATTCAAACCCAACCCTTCTGGATTCCCAAAGCTCCACAGCACTTTCCTTTCTGTTATGCCACCTCCCATGAGACAGTATCTAAGAGTTGATTATCATTGAAAGGTAAATACAAAAGCCAGACCAGCAGAGTTCCACCAAATAAGGCCCTAGAAAGTTGCCCAAGCTGGGCAGCACAGGAACTAGTCCAACTGGCTCTTCAATGCCACATTCCCAAAGACCAGGGACAGAACTAGTATGAAGGAGGAAGCAGGGAGAAGGGCTGGCACTCCTTTACCTTATTGTACACCTCTAGGATGACCGGCTAGCTGTAAGGAACCTACTAGGGCAAACAAAAGCAGCTTGCTAGCTGGAAATAGGGCATGAGCAAATGACTTCCCTCCAGGCACAGCTCAACCCACCAGATCCAAAGGAGAGAAGTTTCCCAGGGAGCAATGTGTCATGCGGTAGAAGGGGAGGTGGGCACTGCTCTAAGTCTGATATTCCACAGTCTTCCCTGTGGCCTCAGAGAAAAACCAAAGGAAGGTAACCAAGTTGTTTCTGGCACCAGGTGCCCTGGGCAGTGGCTTTACCTGCTGTTGTGGTGCCAAAGACATCTGTCTTTTCTCTGTGGGCCGACTTCCTGGAATGAACTGAGGGCACTTCAAATGCCCATCGCTTTCTCCATTCTCCTGTTCAACAGGCATATTTTAATCTTTCATGAGAAGCCAATTTTAGATCCTTAGCTGTTGTGTTGTGTTCATGCTCCCATTCGATTCCCTGGAGGCCTGTTTCTCATTGACATATGCCAGGCACTCAATTTTATATATGGACGGGTATTGAGACTTGAACTCACAGCTTCCTACTCTTGCTTGGCTTGTCTCAGACTCAACGCTGGGCTCCACAATTTGAACCACATCTCTCTACTTCTAGATTTTTGGTGGTTAACTGGAGATAGGAATTTCACAGACTTTTTTGCCCACTGACTTAGAACTGGGATGCTCAGATTTCAACCTTCTAAGTAGCTTCTAAGGTGTGAACTCTACCACTCAGCTACATCATGTACTTTCTACATTTGTGCTGTTGCCGCCTCACAGCCTTTGCTTTTACATTCCCTGGTCTTACATTTATGAAAATATAAAGAATACTCTCATTTTAATCTCCATCATTTCTCCTTCCAAAGAGGATGACTTGTCATCTTCAGATCACCATTTATCCGTAATTCCTTGCTTACAAATGTTAGCTACATGTTTGTAAGTGCAAAATGTGCAGTATTAAGTATTACTCTATTATTTTGAAATTAATGACACCAGCCACATTTTAAACGCCATGGTTACCAAAAACAGATCTAAACTTATGGCTTGTAAAATGTGTAAATTGAAAATGCATCCCATTAAAACGTTTGGCTTGTTAAATGACTATAAAATACAGGACACTAGACAACACCACTCATTACTGTTCAATGATGGCCAGGTCTGCAGGAAGCAGTTTGACACATGGAGATCCGACTACTCCCCTTCAGTCTGTTCCCAAACCTACCCTGTTTTTCCTTCACAGGCCTGTAACCTCGTCCCTCCTCTGAATCTAGGCACCTCACCAACCCAGACCCCCAGGAAGCTCTGGGACAACATTCTAGTTGTCACCATCTGCTCTCTGGACCCCTGATGTCACTGCCAGAACACACTTCCTCCATGAACCCCACCTCCACCACACTTGAGAGCTGATCAAAGCACTTTCACATGTTTCTGTGTGATTCCCCAGCACTGGGGCAGACAGAAACCACCAACACCGCTGCTGCTTCTATTACACGTGAGGAACGTGAGGAGAGGAGGCTCAAAATGCTGGGTGTGTGTTCAAAGCAGTACAAGCACAAGGTCCTCAATTCAAACCACCTCACTGGCAGGGGGGGGGAGGAAAAAAAACCCACAATGTTTTTTTACTTATTAGCCGATAAAAATGGGCCCCAAAGGAAAATCTCACTGGCAGCCCTTCCCTAAAAACATAATAGCCTTCTTCTTTACCTTAGAGACACAATTGTGTGTGTGTGTGTGTGTGTATGTGTGTGTGCGCATGCGCATGCACGCGCGCGTGTGTGCATGTGCCAGTTCTACAGCTTGAAATCAAGGCCTGGGAACTGTCCCTTAGCTTTTTTGCTCAAGGTTGGTGCTCTACCAGTTGAGCCACAGCTCCACTTCTGGCTTTCTTTCGTAGTTTGTTGGAAATGAGAGTCTCATGGGGGTGATACTGATCAAGATGTATTCTATTTATAAGCTGCTTTGTTAAATGACAATTCCTTTGTACAACTACTTAAAGATTTTTAGAAAAAAAGTCTCATGGGCTTTCCTGCCTGGAATGGCTTCAAACCGCAATTCTCAGGTCTCAGCCTCCTGAGTAGCTAGGATTACAGGCATCATGAGCCACTGATGCTTGGCAAAGGAATTTTTTTAAATGAGGTGGGTTTTTAAATATAGCGGGTTTTGTTGTGTGTAAGTAGATATACCAGGAGCAAGTGGCTCACACCTGTAATCCTAGCTAATCAGAAGGCTAAGACCTGAGAATTACAGTTTGAAGCCAGCCCAGGCAGGAAAGTCCATGAGACTCTTATCTATAAGTAACTACCACAAAACCAGAAGTGACATGGTGGCTCAAAGTGGTAGAGTACTAGCCTAGAAAAGGCTCTGGAATAGCACCCAGGTCCTGAGTTCAAGCCCCATGACCAATAATAAATAAAAAAGATGTATGCATAGAGATGTATATAGTAGACATGTTAAACTAATGGTATGTCTACAAAACATGTAACAATGCAACCAAAGCCAATTCTAAGAAAACTTAAAACGCTTATCATGGTCTTACAACAGTACAATAGTAACATTTCTGCTAAATTCTATTTCAATGTTTTTAGTTGCTTGCATTTTGTTTTTTCGTTTGTGTTGGTACTAGGGCTTGAACTCAGGGCCCTACCTAATATCCCTTAGTTTTTTCACTCAAGGCTGGTGCTCTACCACTTGAGCCACAGTTCATCTCATGGACTTTCTTGCCCAAGCTGGAGTCAACCCTTGATCCTCAGATCCTGGCCTTCAAAGTGTTTAGGATTACAGGCGTGAGCCACCAGTACCCGGCTTAGTTTCTTCCGTTTCAGTACCAAGTAGGGCTATCAACATGACTTCTCCAAACCAAGCTTTTGGCTTTTCAGTTTTGTTTTGCTTTGTTTTTGAGGGGATAACAAAGTCACAAGACCTCAAACACATTAAGCACAAGTTCTAGCACTGAGCTGCATCTCTAGACCTTTATATTTAAAATTGAGACAAAATACTGTTCTAGAACATTATTATCACAAGAAAGAAATAAAACTCAATTTGTAATGCCTTATACTAACTTTCAAAAAGCCTGCCCAATTTAAATTCCCAAATCTTCAGCTTAGTACTAATATCACCATTAGCACAATGTGCACTTTGTCATTTGGAGCCATTTTTTTTTCCCTCAAAGAATGCTGTATGCTGATTCCAGTAAAACACAGACTACAGCTCACCAGCATTTCTCCTTACCCTTACTCTATTGTACCAACACAGATGGCTAATATGTCAGTTACACTGCGTTCGTAAAGTCAAAAACTTTGAACACGATGAATAAATGACAAAATAAGAATTTTAAAAGAAAAAATACAAGAAGTAAACTAAACAGAAAACCCAACAAACTTAGCCCGAGCCATTGCTGAGCCGAGTGCTGCAATGATGGTCACATATTTGAAGAACAGCAAAAAACAAAGCAGGACGAAAACAAAAAGACCTAGCTTTGCTGGCTGCCCTGCCATGGAGCCTATGTGGCTGGAGGATGAGGGAGGAGAAGGGAGGAGCCTGTCACTGTCTCCACTTTCCTACATTGAATTTTGCACTGCTCATTTTTAAAAGCAAGCAATTTCCTGACTCTTGGCATTTAGACAGATTGAAGTGGATAATGCAAAAACCTTTTAAATATTGGTGGATTTCAGCCAAACTTTAAGAAGACTTCTCATACAAAGAAGCATAATTATTTTCAAAACACCCATTTTCAGCCAGCCTTGAAGACAACATCATTGTCCATTATAAATTACATATTAATAGAATCTTCCCCCACACTGTTTCTTTCCACAAAAATGCAGACAAATATCCATCTCATAGTTAGCACTGCTAAAGCTCTTTGTCCCTGTTGATGGAAAAACCTATTTCCAGTTTTTTTTTTCCTTTTTAACAGAGCAAAAGGGTTTTGATTGGGGTCCCAGATTCACCAAGAGAGATGCAATCTTCTTTCAGATATTATGATGTTCCAATATGATGTATCATAATGGAAAAATAAATGCACCTAAGTAATTTATTTATTTTTTGGTACTGGTCCTGGGGCTTGAATTCAGGGTCTGGCCACTGTCCCTGAGCTTTTTGTTCAAGGTTAGCACTCACCTCCACTTCTGGCTTTTTAGTAATTAACTGGAGATAAGCCTCTCACAGACTTTCCTGCCTGGACTGGCTTTGAACCATGATCCTCAGATCTTAAGTCTCCTGAGTAGCTAGGATTATATACATGAGTCACCAGTGCCCAGCTCATGGTGAACATTCTTTCTGCAATAAGAACTGTTTGTCTGATGTTGTCAGCACATCAACTTTTAAATACATCAGCCAAATACATCAATACTACTGACGCCTTCTGTTTAGAGGGTTCATTTTTAGCTAATGGATTTTGTCCTTAGATTAGTGTCACTAATGCCTGGGAATGGAAAATCCTGGATCCTTACTTTTACCACAATGATTCAAAATACTGCCACACATTCAAGGTTAATTATAGCCCATGCTGAGTTCTGCTCCCTGCTTATTCCTCCCCCATGCCCCACTGGCAGATACTGTGGCCTCTCCCACTCCCACGCTGTGCTTCAGGGGACTGATCTTTGGTTCCTGGAAGCCATCTTTTCTACTTTAGTAGAGCCCTAGTCAGTGACCATCCAGCAAAGGCACATGAAGTCCAGCTCTCTTAGGACAATTCTTAGCCTAGCTCACCCCAGAGCTCCCTCAAGCTAAGGCTGAAACCTATCCTTGCCACTTCCCTTTATGCTCACACCCTTGGCTGGCTTTCTCCCTTCCTCTGTCACCTCCCCAACTGGCCTCCTAGGCCTTCCTTAGCACTTCCTCAATGAAAAGCTGGCCCACAAATCCTCGTCTCAGCGCAGGCAGGTCTCCACTCTTTACCACAGGGTCTTCTGGGACCCTAGCCACAAGCCCTCCCCCACCCCATGCTCCTCATCAACTCTACTCAGGACAGAGTAGGTACAATCATCACATGAAACCTTGTGCATTAAAACATTTCAAAAATCTGTACAATGACTGCAAATGTGAACAATGGGTGATTATCTATCACTCCACGCTCACGTCTATAATCCTAACTACTCAGGAGGCTGAGACCTAAGGGTCACAGTTCAAAGCCAGCCCAGGCAGAAAAGTCCCCATGCCAGAAGTGGAGCTATGGATCAAGTGGTAAAACACTAGCCTTGAGCACAAAGAAACTCAGGCACAGTGCCCAGGCCCTGAGTTCAAGCCCCACAACCAACAAAAAAAATTACTCTAATCAATGTAGTACTGGTACGCACTAGACACTATGTTGAAAATGAACTATACAACTTGTGGGTGGGGATGGAGTGGAAAGATGGGAGAGAGTGAGAGAAGGGGTGATACTGTTCAAAAAGAAATGTAGTCTTTACCTTCTTTACCTGATTTATACATAACTGTAACCCCTTTGTACATACCTTTTTGTACTATCCATAAATTTTTTTTCAAACCACTCTAATCTCATTCACTGGTCTGTGAGGGCACCTCTCCATGAAGGGGAACCCCGTAACTCCCCCTCCCCAATTTGTACTTAATCATCTAGCTCTCAATCTGCAATGGAGACTCCATGGAGCCAGAGATTCTGTCTTGTTTCCTGGGGTGACTTAGCAGCCAGACTCCATTATAACATACTGGACAAGATTAGCAAATAATGTGAGGTGATTCTTCTTAGCTCAAAAATGACTTGCCTAAGACACCAATCAATGGAGTAGAGGAGTCTAGATTGTAACCTTGATCTCTGAGACCTTTTCATGGGAGAGTCCACTCCAGGCCTCCATCTTACCCTCATGCACACCAACCAAGGAAAATCACAACCCCTTCTCCTACAACCGAAATGTTGGCATCTGCACACTGGCATTGACAACAAATGATAGACTATCTTATTATAAGAATGGACTAAGATTATTAGTCCTGAAGCTCCCTGGTAGCAAAGACCTCATTGAATTCCCATCCCACTTCATCCACAAGACCCTCCACAGAGCTGAGGAAAAACAGCAGAAAGAGGAAGAAGTCACAGATGTGGGCAGAGACTGAACTAACCATCTGTGAGATGTAGAACAAAGAGGAACATCAGCCCCAAGCCCCAGAATTAGTGAGGGGACTGAATGAGATAGTCTATGCAAAGTGTCTCACACAATACCTGGTCTATGGTAAGCATGCAGTACACACTACAAATAGTTGAAACAACCGAAAAGGACAAGGCTGGGAGAATACCAGCTACCAAGGAGGCTTAAACAAGAAAGATCAGAGACTTAGGTTCAGAAAATCCCGTTTATCAATGCCAGTTAAATAACTATGACACCACATCAAGAGTCTTTCCTAGCTAGGCAATGGTGGCTTGCTCCTATAATCCTAGCTACTCTGGAAGATG